GAGTTCTACAGAATGTTAGTTCTGAATGTAAATGAGTTTTGATAGGCAGGGGTTCTGCTGAATGGAATTTCAACGGAAAAGTCATGAGCCCTCCCAGATACTTTTGGGGGCTAATTGAGAGAGAGTGGTGAGTGTACCTTGTCAGAACACTGATTTTGGAATTACATATATCCATAGAATAGGGAAGGCAAAGAGTTTTCACTGCAGAGGTGTAATACTAGAGGTTTCCAGGAAGCACATTATTGTTAAGTGAGCCGATTGTGTTTTTCTGGACCAAATGAGGGAGGCGTAGTGCCCCTATACCACACCCGATCCACAGATGACAGCAGTATTTCATCTGGAAGCACACATGACACAAATGGTTGTTCATCAGTAAACTAGGGCCAGGCTGTGAATTTTTATTCCAAGCTTCATTGAGCAGTTTTAGTTAAATTTCAAGCAGAATTTGTTACGCGAAGGGTGACGCCTAAAATCTCAATGCAGTGTGATGATGGGATGATAGTGATGTTAACCACTTGTGTCTTGCTGTGCTGAATAAAATTGTATGGTGTTAACCAAATAAAATATTAAAAGTGGCATCCCATTGTGAAGAGGTTAGGAGTTGGGTTGAAATCTGTGATATCATACCAATAACTAAATACAGTATAATGCATTTTGTTTTTTAGTAGCAATGAAGGAAGCCAGGTTAGATGCATCCCACTCAGCCATGCATGAGAGGTCTTCCTGTAGAGATGAGGATGAGTGTTGTCTGTCGTCAAGAATTTTGTTGTGCGAGATGGGCAGTGTCAAGTCATTTACGTAGAGTTGTTTGTCACAAAGATCATTAATATAAGGAACTACATGCTGTAACCAGCTAGAAAAGCAGAAATTAAAAGGACTAAGGACTGGCCATGAGAAGGTTATGTCAGCCTTAACTGTAAAGGTGGACTTGTTAATCACAGATTACCCTGGTTAAGTAAATCTGAGAGATTTTAATATTTGTCGTTTACTGTACCTGTATATATGTTTATGTACTGACATTTGTTAAAGATTAAAATTTTGATTACCGGGTACGATATGAGTTGAGTTAAGAAACGAAGGAATAAGAAGACTTCATTGTTAAGTGGCATTGACATTACAGTGGTCCCTCGGTTAACGAACACCTCGGTTGAGGAAATTTCGGTTAACGAATTGCCTTCCATAAGAATCTTCATTTCGGTAAATGAAATTCTTACGAAAATGTTTTGACATGTTTTGGCTTGCTCACCAGCTGGAAGATTAGTCCGCCAATACAGAAATCGGTTCTAGGGCTTACATAGGTTAAAATTGGAGTAAATATCAAGAAGGTTGTACTATTCAATAATTTTCCAAGTTTTATATTAACATTTTTAGTCATTTTAACACTTATTTAACAAAATTGCAGTACAGGGAACTCATTTTTGGTGTGCCCAACAGCCACTTCACTCACCCACCAAGGCCTCAGTTTGTATCTCTGTTCAGTGGAGGAAACATCTTGCTTGTGGGTCTCTTGAACACAGAGTATTTTAACGTTTTTACAGTACAATTATTGGTCATTCTGAAATTTATTTAACATATTGACAATATATAGTGCAGTGCAGTGTTGATTTAAAGAAAATAATCTTGAATTACACCGAGTGAACTTAAAATTTTATGGGTGAAATGACAGGATCAAGCATGGGGTGATTTCTCTTCCACTTCCTTCTCTTCTCCCTTCTCCTCCACCCCCACTTCTAATTCCCATCATCATCATCATCAACCAGGAGCCTTCTACATACACACCTCAAAGTAAGTGTACTTTACTGCATTTTTTTTTTTTACTTTGTATGTAATTTTCGGTGAGCTGGAACCAATTACCGAAAATCCCATTGAAACAATGGTTTCGGTTAACGAACGACCCTCTGGAACAAATTGTGTTCGTTAACCGAGGGACCACTGTACTGTCTAAGGGAAGATTGGAAGCAGTTTTAGATCCTAAACAAGTATAGTATATTACATTGGCATGTATTGCATGGGTTTGAGATTTAAAGTAATTTTCATACAGTTTAGTACAGTGCAGGGTACTTGTGAATTTGTTGAATTGGAATATCTACAGGAGAGCTTTTATTAATTTAGCAAAGTTTTTGAAAGTACAGTACTTGAATTTTGAACTGGATCAACATCACATTCAATTGAGTTATTTTGTCCCAAAAGATAAATTAGAAATACTGTACTGTATCTGAAAATAATAGTTCAGCTTACTGGACTGATCAGACGGGTGGAAAGACCATGTGGGGGAAATGCTTTGTCAGGGACTCTTGTGTTGTAGGTTATACAGTGTCATGCCTGTCGGATTCCTCAAGGCCATTCTCCTCCAGGATTTTTGTACAGACACTCACACTCGCTCGCTCTCTCTTTCTCACACATTCTTTCAGTCTCTCTCTCTCTCAAATACTCAATATTCTTCACACACACACACACACACACACACACTCACTCACTCACTCACTCACTCACTCGGGTACTTATGCTTGTCCAAATAGATTAACATGATACATGTAGTACTGCACTGTACTGTACATTATTAGATAAAACAGATAATTATTTTTTCTGCACAATACACAGGATGTTGTAATTGTACTGAATTGAAAGGGACCCTAAATGATTCAGCTAATGAAGTGCTCAGTAGTTATCATGTAGCATATCTTACCACTTAACTGCCCTGCTGAGTGGACCACATGAGTTGCTGGCTCGTGATCAATACAAGTGCCCCCCTCCCCACCATGTGCACACACACACACACACACACAGGCATTCCCTGATTTACAAAGATCTGGTTTACGAAAATTTTAAAATTTTGAGTTACAAAAGTAGATATTTTCTCCTGCAGTTTGATTTACATACATATGAAAAATCTGAGGTTACGTTTATCCCTTTCCCCACTTTTTCGTAAAATTTTCGGTCTCGGAAAATGTTGAAGTGCTGACACAGATGTTACAGGACTTCCCATATTGAGCAATTGTTAGCTTATAAAGACAAGGATTGGTACATAACAGTACTGTACTGTATTAAGAGGATGAAATAGGATACAACACAGGTGGTGTTTTAGTTATTACAGCTCACAGGATTGTTATGTGAAGTAGTGGCAAAATGCCGACTCATGGTATTTCGACTGTGGGACTGTTGATGTATTTGGTTTCCAGAGTTTGATTTGATATGAGTGGAAAGAAGAAAATATTTAATGGATAAGTTTAGTACTTCTATATCAGATAAAACATTATAAAAATTTTATCCTGTGAAAGTCAAACTTCATGAAATGTAATGCTTACCTACTATTGGAGCATCACTACCAAATTACAGCCATATGTCTCGGCTGGGCCTCACTGCACCTCAACCAGGGGTGCAGATTTTCAGTAACTTTCGTGTGCTGCACTGCATGTATTTCACTTATAATCATCATGTATACAAAAATGTTCATTAAATTTGTAGGAATTTATCTGCTTTTACAATGGGAGTGTATGGGAAATTGTGATCTGGTTTATTAAAAAAAATCATATCACGAAAGGTTTTCAGGAATGGAACCCTTTTATAATTCATTTCAAGAAGGTACAGTTTTTGAAAATCTGGAGTTAGGAGAAAATGGATTTTGCCCCATGATTCAATTTACAAACTTTTCAGGCCCTTTCTGAATTTGTCCAAGAAAATGTATGCAAATTTTTTTTTTTTACCATCAATATGTTTTTAGTCTATTAATAAACTTTTATTGTGTCATCATTTGCCTACAGTCACCATATAACTTACTCCTCAAACTCACTGGGGACAAGTACCGTACTCATTTCTGCCACCACAGTCACTCAGCCAATTGCCGTATTGTACAATTTCTCCTCATTTACTCTCATGTAATATGTGGCACATTAAATAAAAGAAATTTACTCTCTTGTGACTGATTCTTGCTTAGGGTTACAGGAAGGTTCTGAAGTTTGCTTTCAGTAGACCAAAAATACAAAAAAAATTATGTGGAGTAACTTAGGCTGGGGCTTACGGGGGCTACTAGGCCTCTAGTCAAGTCCCGTATAACACCTTTTAGGGAATTCAAGGGGCAGTGTGTAGTGAAGCTCCATGGCCACATATATTTTGAGAATGCCTATACGGTATTTCTTTTCTTATACAATAATCGCTAAATTTACTTGAAATTATTTGTAAATGTCAATTCAAAGATTTGTTAAAGTTTTATCATTTTGATATGTAATTTTTCATTTATGATGAACCAGAAGTTTTAACATTTCCTGGTTTATAGATTTTTTTTTTCATGGTTCTTGATTCCTGTGTGTTATTATTTTCAAAATAATATCAGTCTAGTTCCAAAAGAGAATTGCCAATCTACTGTTACAGTTTGAGGGAAGGTAGTTTTTGTGCTGAGGAAAATAAGAACTACGTACATGGCAAACATTACTAGAACTGGTCACATCTCCCAGATGAGAATGTTCTTGGATGACAGAATTAATTAGTTGCGTGGTTTCTTTGTGAGTTGAACTTCATCCATGCATGGGCAGTCGGCTGCACTTATACCTGGTACAGGGGCTGGCGCATTTTGTGAGATGTGGCAATGTTGTGGAATGCTTATCAAGCATCCTTAGTCTGGCTACTATTGGGTTCCTTAGGGTCATTCCAGTAGGTTTAATACAGTTAAACAAACACAGAGTTGCCACATCTCACAAATGCACCAGCCACTGTAGCAGGTATACTGTAAGTGTAGATGATTGTACATATGAGAAGATACTATGGGATGGACATATAAAGTGTTGTCATAGTATTAATTTTTGTGTGCACGATTACCAAGCTGTTTGAAACAATGCACAGTATTATACATTTTCTAGAACAGTCTGTGGTTAGTAATATACAGTAATCTATTACATTGGGAATTGTTGTCATGTCTAATGATTATCCATATCTGTTCAAAAGTTTCTATTAAATTTTTGGACCAAAGAAATTATCATTAGATATTGTTTTTTCTTTCTTTTCAGAAGTGCAAGAGAAACTTAATCATCTGCGCTCATATGTTCCTTTTGTGGAGCGCATGATTTCAAAACTAGAGGTGCGTTCTCAACAGATCGGCACGAGCCCAGGCCAACTTGATCGGTTACATGGACTTCATGGGTTTTTAACAAAGCCATTACCTAGAGCGTAAGTTTAATCACTCTGCAGTTTGGGGATGATAGGTGCTCAGGCCTTTCTAGGTTTTGGGGACGAATTAGATGGAGCTTTGCAAATACAAACTATATCGTGTAGTGTAATGTAATGTTGTAGAATAATCTGAGTTAGATACTGTACTCCATTCAGAAAAATAAAATTTTAATGCAATGTTTTTTGGCTCTTAACTTCACAGGTGTTAAGAAAATGAGATTTAAATGCAGATCCTCACTTTCTCCCAATTGATATTTATGATCAATAGTAAACCTATGACTTTTTATGTGATGGCTTCAGAAGATTAGGCAGTAAGAGGCACTAGTTGAGATAATGATCCTTGGGAATTCTGAAGATTTAACTCTATTTAAAGTTATCAAAAGCTTCATCAACACATGAGTTATTTAATGTAATATTTTAAAACACCTCCCCAGTCATTGATTGGATTGTTTCTTGAAGGAAATATTATTTTAGTTGCTCGTAGTATCTGCATGGATTACTATAGTTTTGTTGCATATTTTTTATAGACCAAGGATGGAGATGTTAGAGAAGATGGAAGCTGTTATTCGCAGCATGCACGAAAAGGTTCAGAAGGCACAAGGGGTAAGTGTTGGGGAGATGGGGGTGACGTAAAGCCTGTTACTGATGCGAGTAAATTCACGTCATTTATTTATGTCTCTAATGGTGTGTTACCTTGTTTGACCTCATCATATACCCAGCTTTATCAGATACAATGTCCAGCCCCTACTCAGTATATGTCCAGCCCTATCAGTTGTATGTCCACCCTTACTAAATATATGTCCAGGGCCAACAGGTTGATGCTTTGCTTGCAATCTACCCTATGCAGAGATAATCACTGTCTGACCAGTAGAGATATAGCAGCGTAGTTCTGTTTTCATTTTTTACGATTACAGTAGTGAGGGCACTGACCGGTCATTGAAAGATACAGTGAAACCTCCATATAACAGACCTCTCTTCCTATATTATCCGTTAGATGGGAGTTTCACATCTAATGAACCCTCGATATGACAAACTTTCATCTCTGTATGGTCCATTAAATAGAGGTTTCACTATTGAAATTATCCAAGAAAGTGAATATAAAGAATGTTCAGGGGAAGGGAGGACCAGGCGGCAGCATGAATGGTTGATGCTGAAATTTTTTCTTGATTAGAAATATTTATGATACAATGCAGCTATAAATGTGAGATATTTTAAAACAAATGCACTCTAAAAACAAAATACTGTGTATGTTTTGTATTATTATTTATGAATACCAAATGTAGTGAGCTGTATCAGACCATAAATATTTGTTAAGTAGATTAAATGACACCAGGCTATGATGGGGGCAGATAGTTGATGATCACTCTTTAGTATTTTCCTACATTTACCATTAATCTCTGCTTTTTGCTATTGTATTGATGCTTTGATTTTGAACACTATTAAATACGGTAAAATTTTTTGATGGAAATGTGAGGTGCATTTTTAAGTACTGGACCGGTATGATTGTATTGACAGTAAGTCCTCGCTTAACGTCGTGATTCTGTTCCTGAAAACTGCGACGTCAACGAAAACAATGTTAACAGAATCAATTTTCCCCATAAGAAATAGATAAAATACAGGAGTTATGTTCCCCAGCCTCCCTTTGTCCCATAAAATACATTGCATATACATAAATTCAATGTAATTTTTATAGAAAATAGTATTTATTATACATCCAAAAAGATAAATAAACTAAATAATTTTGTATTGTATTCACTGATGGGCGAAGGTGGAGCGAGTGTGTGGTGGGTAGTGGAGAGGAGGAAGGTGGTGGGGAGTCACTGAGACCTGGAGGGTGGCTCCTCCTCCCGCTCTGACTGGGTGAAAGAGGGTGATGCACCATACAAAGTAGTCCGCGACGACGTTATACCGAATCGGCGGGACGTTGTCAGAATCTTTGGGATCTAAAGAGTAGCGACGTTATAACGAAACAACATTGTCAGGGTCACTGTTAGACGAGAACTTACTATACTGTATTGTTTGGGGAGGGGGCATTTTTTTTCCAGTTATATATTGGTTATCTGTTTTTAGGTAGCTTTCTTTATACATAATTTGAGATAGCTATGTAAAAAAAAAAATTAAGGAGGACCATTAATTTGTAGGAAGGTAACTACCTTTTATGGTGTTTTAAAATTTTCTTTGACAAGTTGGATCAAAAGATGCCTCACGAACATGAACAGGGTTCATTGTACACCCACTAAAAATTATTGGGCACCCTTATGGCGTGATATAATATGACACGGGTGCCCAATAATTTTTTAGTGGGTGTACATTGTTTTGCCTAATGTGGTGTTTTCTTGGAATGTATCCCCGTCTTATGCATGGTGGGTGTGTGCGTGTGTGCGTGCGTGTGTGCACATGTGTGTGTGCGCGTGTGTGTGCGCGTGTGTGTGTGTGCGCGTGTGTGTGCAAGTGTGTGTGTGCGTGCGTGTGTGTGTGCGTGTGTGTGTGTGTGTGTGATATAATAATAATAATAATAAACGGTTTATTGAAAGAGCATGGCAGCCAGAAGGCTGAAAATATACAATTACATAATTGGAGAATGGGTCTCTTGATTTACAAATGATATGCAAGTAACATAAGTGATACAAATATGATATATATTAATTAGGTGTTGATAATTTTTACAATGGTTGGGACTGGCCTGTTCTTATAGCAATCAGTTCGTGCTCGTATGGGCTGGATGCAGTTGGGCAGGTGTGTGGCCAGGACAGTAGCTTGAGGCAATGCAGGTGTGCTCCATCCTTCAGGTTAGGTCAGGTTAAGTCAGATCCAGCCACACTCAGTATTGCTGTGTTTTTGTGCTTTTCCTTCGAGTTGAAATTGCCACTTTTGTATATCGCTTGTGGGTTGATGGTCAATCTTTGCACTGTACTGTTGGTGGGAGGATGTTGATAAATCCAGATGGGAAGGAGGAGATGGGGAAGGGGAGGGCCCGACAGACCGGGCTGGCAGCTGTCTCCATGGTCAAGAGACCACGGCTGCGTTAGCGGGCAGTGCCGACTACACACATCTTTACCCCATGAAGGCTGAAGGAAGGAAGTGTGTGTGTGTGTGTGTGTGTGCGTGTGTGTGCGTGCGTGTGCGTGTGTGTGAGAGAAATTGGATTTTTACTTTTTTATTTTTTGGTGTTACAGAAACCTGTTGCTGGATCTAGCCCAACACTAGAAGTAAATTCTTCTGGTCCAGAACCAAGTCATTCAAGACCTGAACCAAGTTACACTGGTCCTGAACTCAGTTATTCTCCGCCGGAGTTAAATCGTTCTGAACCTGAAACAAGCTATTCAGGAATTCGAACAGGTTATTCTGGAACTGCTCCTAAACCGAGTAGTTTGACTGGACATGGTTTTGCACATGGAACGGGGGTTCATGCAGGTGTTGGTCAACCCTCACCAGGTCATGGAATGAACCCAGTTCACACACACAGGCCATCACCGGTACACAACCCTGCATCAGGGGAACGGAAAAGCACAAGAGAGAGTGGGGGAGGAGAAAAACCAAGGGAGTTGGGGCGTGAGGAAAGGGCAAAGGATAGGGGGGGAATGGATGTGTCGAGGGAAGGTAGCTATGAGAGAGGTCGAGGCAGAGACTTTGATCGGGGTGAAGCGAGGCATGTTGATAGAAACAGAGAACGTGGAAATGAAAAATCTAGAGAAAGAGAATATGAGAGGAGTAGATCCAAAGACTATGAAAGAAGACGAAGCCATGATCTTGATAGACATAGGGGAATGGAAAGAAGTGCAGAGAGAGATGCAAGGATTAGGACCTTAAATGAGAGAGAATATGAGAGAAACCGAGAAAGAGGAGGTAGTTTTAGAGAGAGGGATCATGAGCGAGAAAGGAATCGTGACGGTGTCAGAGGGAGCAGTTCTCAAGAGAGGCAGTGTGATCGCAGCAGGGAGAGAGAGGCTCCCAGAATGGAACGCCAACACAGTCTCGGTGAACACGAGAGAAGACAGTTGGAGGGGAAAATGTCTTCAAAGAGGAACAGCCTCCTTGATCTTCCTATGCCCCCATCAGCAACCAGCCGTGATATTCCGCATCCTTTTGGGGATATAGGAAATATAGCTGAACCAAATACAGAAAAATTCCAGAACTCTAGAGAGAAGCTCCAAAAGCTTTTTGGTATATTTGGAGATTCATCTGGGCCACGAGAAGAAGCTAGTACTTCAATAACATCACGATCACGAGGATGGAGGGATGAAGTTAGAGCAAGGGGAGACCAGTTTTTTACGGGAAGAAGTTCAAGTCAAGCTACAAATGAAGTAGTGGATGACAGAGGAGATTATCACCTTCAGAGACGCAGGTCCCAACATGATGATAATTCTTCAAAGCCATCACACCACCCTAATGCAATGAGGGACTATTCTCGTGGCCTGAATAGTGATCCCAGAAACCAGTCCCACCATTGGAAAGTAAGTAGCTCTCATTCAAGCACAACCCATCATGTTCCACCCCAAAGGGAAAGTCAACAAAGCACCCCATGTGACACACCCATGTCCCCAGACCAGTCTCCTAGTTGTGGGTTTGAGGCAGTTGACACCCCTCAGTCTCCAGATATGGAAGCTTCTTTCAGTCCAATTGTTTCCTCAGAAGAGGGAACACCAGTAAAAACCATACCCCTAGAGAATCTGCAGCAGAAAGGTGTTGATCTAGAAGCGATAAAGAAAGCTCTCGCACAGATTCGTGCAAATGAAAAACCCCAGTCTAATACTTCCAGCTCTGAGCAAGGTCCATCTTACCGTTATGAGGATTTTGTGGGTCCTGCTATTAAAGCCAAAGCTGATGAGGATGAACCTTATGATCCTGAAGAAGTATGGAACTGTCAGGATTTGGAAATGACAGAACGTCAACACCCTGCAGTGAGTATGGCTCATTCATCCACAGGTTTGTGTAAAAAAGATGTAGATCTTCGGCAGATTCCAAAGAGCATACCACTACCTCACATTTACCAGGCAAAAATGCAAGAGAGACAGAGTCATTACTCAGGTCATCAGGTCCCACACATAAAAGATGCAGCTAGGACCTCTGACACAGGAAGTAGTGCACCAGTCTCCTTGTCAAATATACCTCTTCCCCAAAGGCAAACTACAGCTGGTCAAATTTGTGATAAGTCACTAGGCCATATTCCCCACAGTCAGTCAACAACCTCTGGCGCAGGGTGGTTTCAGGCCTCTTCCACTACAAGACCAAATGATTCTCAGAGCATCCGAGAAAATGTCAGTGATGTGGACATGAGACATCACCAGCATCAACCTCCATTACCAAAGTCACATCATCCTCCTTTACCTAAGGTTCATCAGCCACCATTGCCTAAGCCACATCAGCCTCCATTACCTGCATCACATCAGCCTGCATTGCCAAAATCAAATCGGCCTTCATCACCAGCGACACTTCAAGCTTCGTTGTCAAAGTCACATCAGCCTCCATTGCCAAAATCACACCAGTCATCTTTGGTAAAATCACATCAGTCACCATTACCAAAATCGTTCCAGCCCCCACTGCCAAAATCACCTCCTCCTGAACCTCATCTTTCTCCTAGTCCTTCCAACAAACGACCTGATGAATTAACAGACAAAGAAGGACACAGATACATGGTGAACAGGTTAGATAATATACGTTCTCGAATTGCACACCAAGCTGGAGAATTAATCAAACCAGGTCAGCAGGGTGTAGCTCTCACCCAGATGGAAAAGTATAAATTAAAGAGACAGACTAGTTTGTCAGAAGTTAAATCTCCAACACATTCTTTGGGTATGACTTCCGCCAAAGAAAATGTTTCTGTAAAATCAGAATCGAGCATAAAGGGTAAAGATTCTTTATCTGTCCTGGACCTACTCATACCAGAGAGTGAGAAAGGGGTAGAAGAAAAACCATCTGTCTTGAGAGACCCTCGGCAAGTTAATCAGAATGTATCAACCCAACCTCCCAGAGATCCAAGATTAAAACAACAGGTTGATCCCCCTGAGAATGATTCCGTGTCGGTTATATCACGTAGTAGGGACCCAAGATTATCAACAACGTCAACTGGAGGAGGTTTACCGAGTTTAAGAGACCCAAGACACCAAAGTAATCGTGATCCAAGACAGGAATCCGGAAGTTTTTCTACCACTTTAATTAGAGATGGAAGGGATGATGCTGGGAAATTTTATGTGGCTTCTAATTCTGCAAACAGAGATCCTAGACAAGATCCTGGAAAGTTTCCTAGTGCAAGTGGTCCACAAGTGAGAGATCCTAGACATGAAGCTGGAGCATATATTGGTGTGTCAGGAACACCGGCTCGTGATCCCAGACATGAACTTGGAAATTTTTCTGGTATTCCTGCAAGAGGAAGCAGGGATCCCAGGCAAGAAGCTGGTATATACCCAACCATGACAGGATCCCAGTATAGAGACCCACGTATGACATCAAGGGTAGAGAGGCCTTCAGGGAGTGTTTGGCAGCCACAGCCAGCAGCTGCATTACCTGGAAACTATCCAGTACAGCAACCACCCAGTTCAAGTGTTGGAGTAGTCGATCCAAATCCCGCTCAGTCAGCTAGTGGTTCCCTGATTGGACAAACATTCACATGCCTAATGATGAGAGGTTTGCCTCCATTCACTAATTCTAATCACATATATCACTTCTTTCAGGAGTACATCTTGCGTGACATATCTATTGAATTAGACAGTCACTACCTGTGTAAGGGAACTGCCTATATACATTTTCCCAGTCATGCTAGTGCCCGTGAAGCCTTGGAACTTGTAAATGGGCATCATTTGCAGGGCTATCCAATAACACTAAGAATTTGTACGGTAGGAATTCTTCGCCAGGCTAAGAATGCCTATGAACAATTAAACCGTGACAGAGAAGCTCAGTTAGGCATCCCGGAGCGACCCAGGGGAAACGGAAACCCATTCTTTAAGCCTCGACCAAAAGAACAGCCTAGTAAACCAGTACCATCCAAATCTGCCTCTCTCACTGCAAGTGTAGAAACACCTGCTTCTTCAAAGAAGGTACAGGAACCTGAGGAAGTGGTAAGTGAAGTTGGTGGAAATACAAACAAATACTCGGAACTATGTGGGGTTAAAGTACCGCCAAAATCATCAGGTAAAATATTAAGTTTCAAGATTCCAAAGATCAGGAAGGAGAAGGATGCTGCCCGGAAGAATGCGCACAAGGCCGTCACTATTGATGAAAGTAAGAATAAGACAAAAACATCTGAAAAGAAAAAAGTGACACATAAACCCACTGAAGCTAGCAGCAGTAAAGTCAAGCCCCCTGTAAAGGATTCATCTGAGTCGGACGACGACTTACGTAACATAAAAGCAACCAATAAAAAGAACAGAAAGTTTAAGAAAATTGTAATTCTGTCTGATTCTGATTCAGAAGATGAGGAAAAGCCAAATAAATCTAACAGCAGTAAATATGAATCCTTAAGTTCTGTCAGTGATAAAATGGATATGAGTAATGATGATGACGATGATGATGATGATGAGGGCTATATGGTTATTGACGAAACTGTTATGTCAGATGATGGAGAAACGGAAGAATCAGAAGTAAGCTCACAGGTGTCAGAGGAACCTCTTGATCAAGCACTACCTGTCAAAGTAAAAGAGAAAAGAAAACCAAAAGATAAAAAGAAGAGTAAAAGTTCTACTGGAAAAGGTACAAAGAAGAGAGCGCCAGGCAGCACTAAAGGAAAAAAGAAAGTACCAATTAAGACTGACACATCTGCACGGAAGATACGTGGTAAAAAATCCTCAGATAAGTATATGGCAGACAGTGTTTACAAGCCAGAACTGAACTTAAATTCTTCTGTGGGTCTGAAATTAACTCGTCACACTCAAGGAGAATTAGAGGAATTGATTACCGAGAAAAAGAAGCTTAAAGTCTTGATTCCCGCACCACATAAACTTGTGGTCACTTTAAGTGATGATGATAAACTGAAGAGAAGAGGTGGAAGAAGAAAAGTTACTGAGATATTACCACCACCAATTGTTGAAGAGGTAAAAGTAATAAGTGAAACGCCGCCATCTGTGGTTCCTGAAAATATTGTGCCAGTCGTCAGCAGCATTTCTCGTCAAAAACTTAACAAGAGTGTAACAGAAGATGTGGTTATTGTCAAGAAAGAAGTTATTGTAAAGAGTTGGGTTCAGGCCAAAGACTCCATTTCTGATGATGAAATGTTCCTTCCAGTTAATACCAAGTTAAATTGTGCTCTGAAAAGGGAAGTAGCTATTGGTACCCCGACTTCAAGAAAAGGTAAGAAAAGAAAATTGTCTGCCACAAAAAATGAACAAATAAAAACATCCAACAAAGAGTCATTTAGTAATAGCTCTCTTAATGATGATGATATAGGGGGTAGCACAGATGATGGAGGTGAAGATACAAGTAACTCCAGAGAGATAACAAAACATGGTGTAACAGCAAAAGGGAAAGTTAGTAAAAAGTTTTGCTTAGATGATGAAGCTTCCTCCATCAAAAGTGAGGGAGAAATCTTACATATTGATAGCTCTAATAACAAAATTGAAGACACCAGTAAGAACTCTCGAGAAACAGCAAAACGTGGCTTGACAACACCGATTAGAGGAACGGTTAGTAAAAAGTCAAGGATAGATGTTGAAGATTCTTCGTTTAAAAGCGATGGTGAAAATTCACATCAATTTGATGTGTTTGAGAACGATGGTTTATCTGATGACATGCCCGATCTCACTCAGATTACCCCAAGTTTATTAGATGTAGACCCAACAATTAGTAATGCTCTGCCAAATGCATCTGCTCTCGCAAATGTATTGAGTCCACCACACATGATTCACCAGGTAAATGAAAATGTTGCCCCATCAAGGAATGAGTCAAGTGGTGACTGGTCATGTGGAAAATTGCAGATAATGGAGGTTGAAAGTTTACCTTCAGAGGGAGTTTCTCTCACACAGACAAAGGAAGATGATAAAGTACTGGATGAAATGCTTGATATGGTTATTGAAAGTAGAGAGAATAGAGGTAAAACTGAGGTAGACCTCACTGAAAAGACTTCAGTGCCCGACACAGGAAAAGAGACTCCACAGGATGCTCTTGATATTAAACTTAAAGAAAAACTAGAGAGCACTGTGGAAGGTAAGATTATTTTAAAGGAATCAGATGGGAACACCAAGGCAACCTTAGACATAACACCAATGGAAGGTGTACTTGAGAAATCTAAAGATTTAGATAATGAAAAGAAGGTTGGTGTTACAGCATCCCTGACTAGAAGAGCATCTCACCCAGATTCAAAAGATAGTGATGAAGATGTTAGACACAAAGGAAAGACAATGCTTGCTAACACAGAAGGGGAGTCAAAAGATATAAACTCGACAAAACGTAAATTGTCAACATCAGTAGATGTGCATACCAGTGAAGCTAAAGGTTTACCCAATAATGATTCGAAGGGTTTGGAAACAAGATTTAATATTGAGGCTGAAGCAACTGGAATTTCTTTTAACACAAGTGATCAAAATAAGAAATTAAGTCACATTTCATTTGAACGTAGTGCAGAGACTAAGGAGACAAAAGTTAGCAGTGTTGGTTTAGAAGTATCAATAAAAACAGATGGAAACACTGCTGATAGCACTATGAACAGTGAAGACATGGATATGGACGACGATGCTGCTAGTGTTGGGAAAGTGAGCACGAGTAGCTTTGTAGATGATGCTTCTATAGTCTCGAGTGAAGGTCGTGATCTGAAAACCCCTGAGTCTCAGTCTTCTAAGAAAGGAAAGAGATCTAAGTCAATAGGGTCTCTAGCCTCAATAGAATGTCGACGAGTGACACGGGGCTCGGTAGTGCAGCCCCTAACAGCAGAGGTTGTTGAATGGGACGATGGAGGGGTAGTGGATTTATTTCAGTGTGACTTGTGTGATTATTTTGGTCGCCACATGGCTAATCACTTAGTCAATTTTCACACTGAAAGGGAGCTGCTATGTGAGTTCAAAAAAGAAGACTTTCCACCTGTAATAAAAGATCATGTTGGACCTCCGAAGGAAATGAATAAGGATGACCATGTTCCAATAGACTTGAGCTGGATTCCAACTCATATGAACTTTGAGAAAAGTGTAACGTGTAAAGATTGTGATTATATATCGAATAGTCGCTTTGATCTGATATATCATTTCCTAGAGCACACTCCTGAAATGGCTGCCTTTGTTTTTCATTGTCGTCTGTGCAACTACATGTCAGAGAAAAAGGAAGATTTTTACAACCACATCTCGAGTCACACGGGAGAATATCGCTACAGGTGTGAACTTTGTGGTCACCGCACATATAAGATGGCCCTTCTCCAGGCACACCACAAAGAATGCCATCGCACACAATCTGAGAAGTTTTTCATATCAGCTATGATAGAAGAAGATGGTTGGCTATACATTAATGTCTGCAAAATTTGTATGTTTGTAAGAATTGGATTAACTGCTGCCGAGGAACATGTGAAGCATCGTCATGGAGGGAAGGCAGACATTCACAAAGCCAACATGAGTAGACATATTGTTTTGCACTCTGAGCTGAGGAAAGCGTCAGGTGAATCTGAAAATACCTCTGCTCCTCGTCCAAAGTACAAGGGGAAAAAAAAAAAAAGGGGGAAAAGAGGTCCAGATCTTGAGGTGTTTGTTGGAGAAGAAAAGGAAGACGAGACAGGAGAGGAGGAAAAGGCAAAACAGCTCGTGGACAGAATTTCTCTTAATATTCATACGACAATATCTGCACAAGAAGCTCATAAAAGAATGACATTACTAAACTCGATTAGTAAAAAATTGGATGAAGAGGCACAAGAAGAAGAAAAAGAAGGGGAATTGGGTGTAAAGCCAAAAAATCAAGAAGAGTTACCTGCCAGTTGTCAGTTATCAACTTCAGCCAACAAAAGTGATGTTATAAAAGAAGGGAAAAAGGAAATTCAAAGTGAAAGCACAAACACTGAACAGAAATCAGATGAACCACAAAATGTCTTAATAGATGATAGTAATGATGGAAAAAATGCCATTGGTGACGTGCAAAAGAATGCAACAAATGAAGATACTGATTCTGTTGAAAGTGATAGTGAGTCTACCATGAGTGCTGTTGAGCATGATGCTATGGATGATGCAGTTGTAGGTGCAGGTAAAGGTTTTCTTCAAGATACAATAAAGAAGCTTTCTGCTAAGCTGGAGGAAGATGCAAAAAAGACTAAGTTCGAAATAACAGCAGTGGAACAAAAACAGGAGGAGGAAAAGCCCCAGCAGGAGTCTCAAGAAGTGTCAGCAGGAGATAAGTGTGTCAGTGCAAGTAATGTTCATGATGATGATAGCGACTCCGACAATTTAGTGATATGTGAAGACGTTGATACCGATGCTAGAGAAGACCAAACGCCAGCAGATGACTCTCAAGCAGGAGCGAGTTCTGTGGATACAAGCACCGGCACTGGAGGAACTGATGGACCGTCACTACATGATTCAATTCAGTCAATTCTTCGAGAAGCATCTGCAAAAAACCAGGCACCTTCAAAAATGCCTAAGTTAAGAATTCGTCCTGCACACCAGCTGCTGGATCCTCGACATACTATAAAGGTAAAACTCCCGTCTTGATGTTTTGGTGTTGTGATTTCATGTATTAATAGATTTAGTATTTTCTGTGGGTAATAATTTTTCTTTCTGTAGCCACACTTCAGCCCACTTAGACTTGAGTAGAATACTGTACCCATCAAGTTTCTGGGATACATTCAGGCCAACTCTTGGTGATAACATCTGACACTTGGCAAACAATAATTATAACATGCCTGCTGGATGCCCTCAGAAAGGAGTTTGACTTACATTGTTTGAAGGAAATACTTCTAAAAAAATTCACTGTCATGCCAATTAATTATTTATTTTGATTCTCAGCCACCCAAGAGAAAGATAAGATCAGCATGCTTTACTTGCTGCGATGAAGGGTGCAGCTATAGCAGCATTAACAACATGGACTTGATCAAGCACATCATTGTCACTCATGGGCCATACAAATGCATTGCTTCAGGCTGCCAGTTTGTTACCAAGTCTAGGGAGGTCTTCAGCATTCATTTTAGGACCCTGCATCCTAAGGTGAGTTTATTAGTTTGAGTCTCACTCTTTGTACAGGTGTTACTTAATGTTCATACTTGAAATTAGAGTCCATGCACTACAAGATAATGTTTGTATATTTTATTCTTGTATATTCCAGCTGAGTTTCTTGGTGTGTCCGTTTCATTGCAAGAATGTATTTCGTCATTTTGATGAGCTTGTTGAACACCTGTCTAGTCATAATACAGCACATGAGGAAGATCTAACTACTCAGTCTGAAGAAGGTAAGGTTAATGACTCTCAATTTATATTCTGTACCTTTACTGTCTATCTACTTTTCTATGGCCATAAGCATAAAAATTTTCTTTGGGTCAATGCATACCCTGACCCTTGCTGTCAGGGATAGCCCAACAGTGTGTGGGTGGCTGACGGCTGGTAATCCAGAGCGTGAATCAAAATAGAGGATACAGGATATTGGATAATGGTTTATAATTTGGCATCACTCTCTTCTCAATCGTCTCCTAATGAAATGAATGTTAAACCTTCTTAAAAATTGAATTAATTTATTTTTTCTAACACTGAAATGTGGTATGTAATGAACAAGAGCCAGTTTATTTACCACTTAAAAGAGCAAGCTAGGAATTGAAGCAAGGAAGGGCAAGTAGCCAGAGAAGTTGGGTGGGAGATAGGGTTACAAAAAACAAGTGTTCCAGTGAGGTTATGGCTGTATACAGAAGGAACCAAAGATGCAGAGATGGGCTAATAGGAGCTTTATGTATTCCTGAGGGTTATCTAACATGTCTGAGTACTCAGTTTAATCTCTGGGATATCTATTTTGTGTGAGACCTTCAACCAGTCATGACTTGTTCATACATCAAATCTTTTACATCATGTAGAGGTTGTTATGTGGAAGGCCCTCAAGACTCAACACACTGGTAGAGTTGAAAAGGCAAGATAAAATGTGGACAATGTGATGTGCCCAGTTTCCTCCTTCTCTTTGACTTGAAGGCATCTTTGGCTTCTTGGGGTCTGTCTCTCTTGGTTCAGGTACCAGGTGAAGCAATTGGTTATTAATCCATTCATTGTAGTTAATATTATTGACAGTAGTATGGCCACATCAGCTGTAAGTACCAAACAGATATAAGAAAAATTTCCTGGCATGGTCAGCAGTCACATAAGAGAAGTGTTGCTGCTTACACTGCCAAGGTAACCATGCTTCCTCCTAAAATACATGTGAATATTACCTGTTTGAGAAGGAATTAGATGATCAGCTTCTCTGAAGCAAAGTAGATTCTTTTACATTTAATTTGCCCTGGTGAGTTCTGTGTTACTGTTAAACTATCCAGTCTATTGTGCTACCAGCCAAATCATTATCATTACCCTTTTTTCCATGCCTGTCGCCACCCCATCATCATTTTTGCATTATTTGTGTCCAGATGTTGGAGCGCCACAATCATGGTAGGAATTTCCACATTGAGACTTCTTCGCACAAGGGTCAGCATTCACCAAAGCTTACACACATCCCCATGCCATCTAAAAATATTCTGGCCTCTATGATACCACTGCTGTTCTGGAAAGCAGTACTGCCTTAGGGTCTTTGGTTGGTACCCTCCGGTATTACTGACTTGTGGCTTCATTGCTGGAACCTGTCAGTATTATCACCCTGAACCCCTGATTCAGTGTTGGTTGTTGTTGTCCCTTGGAGACATCAAAACTGAGTTTCTGTTGTGGGGTGTTTTAAGTAGATTTTACAAGTCACTTGTCTCCTTCCACAACCTTATTTTTTTAAAAAGATACAGTAGTTTGAGATATTGCAAAAGTACATGTACCTAGAACAAAAAAGTTGATAATATTGAATGACATTTGTTTGTTCTTTGGAATATTATTTGACCAGATGAAAACAACCATTTTGATTATATCTAATATAATAATTATCATCTTTCATGGCATTCAGCTGGGAAAGAGAGAACGGGTGAGTTTATTCCACTTGGTTGTAAAATTCATCTGATACATCCAGGACCTGACCTTGTCCACATCCAGGACCTGACCTTGTTCCCAAAGATTGATGAACTGGCAGGCAGCCAGTTTGCAGAATTTGTTTGGGAATCACTTATGAGACTCTTAACATAAACAATTACCAGTGTCTGTGCTGAAATGTTGGTGACTCCTCTTGGTGCAGGCATAAATGTACTGTAATGGGGGGTGGGGATTAATTACAACTACAATTTATTTTTCATTATGATTCCATTATTATCAAGAAGACAGTGTCACTGCTAGAAAAACAAAACAACAAAGTTTTTACCAACATAACATTAATAAATTTCATATTTGCTACTAATAATTCTTACTTTTCAGTTGAGACTTACAGTATGCAAACATATCTTTACTTGCAATGGTGTGTTTATAAGTTTGGCACAAAATAAGCCTCAATATGTAAGCTGGTAATTATTAAAGAAATGAGAAAGGCTGGATAAATGTTTGAGCTCAACACCTTTGACTCACAAGCACTCTGGACACCTTAAAAATCTAATACTTTTTATATGTTATTTTGGGAGAATGTCCATTCAAATGCCCATGAGTAGTTCTTAAAGGGTAGACCCAATTTGAGCATCCAATATTCATTGACACGTTGCTTGGGCAGGGCCTGCCATTTTTATACAGAATGTTCATTACGTACAAATGAAAACTGACTCAATGATTCTATAGTTTTATACATCCTGGGAAGAACAGCTCTAATAATGTTGATACCTGTATCTGATTTAAACAGCCAATTTTTAGTTATAGGGAGAAAATCACATCAAATCATTGAAAGTCTCAGAACACAGATCAACTCATCTGGAGACCACATCCTCTCACCTATAGCATATTTTCTCTTAGTTTGTTTTATATTTTAGGTACAGTTTATTCTAGGCTTCTTATTTCCAAAATTTGGAAAATTCTTGAATCCGGTAACTTTCTGGTTCCAAGCTTGCTGGATAATCAATTACAGTATTGGACTGCACTACCTTTAATTATTTACAGTAATCTGTTGGAGTAACCTCTCTGACCACTTGTCACATAACTTGCAGGGCATTACAAATTATTTGTTGGTTCAGTAGATCCATACTCTGTACCTTTTGTAATTGTGACTCTTATTATGTATGTGGAGTGTGAACAAAGTAAAGGCCAGGAAGGTGATATAATTTTTGAGGTTAAGTTGTTCATAATTTAAACTTTGGAGATTAAATATTTTGGGTTTATGGAAGAAATTCTCTACTTCATTCATTATTTATTTACTGTATTTGTTTGTTTATTTATTTATTTTCCCCTTTTCAGAATCAGAAGTTCCGGGATTTTTACGTATTGAAAGTGTCAGCACCTTAGACCCTACTGCTGCTTCTCAAATGTTTGGTGAAGGTTAGTGCTGTTTTGTACTGGTAATCATTGAAGAACCAAAGGAATAAGAACTTATACATTTGATGCCAACATCAACTGGGATGTTTCAATGTCCTTGCATTCCAATTTTGTGCATATGTGGATGAATTAGGGAATGAATGAACTTTAATTCAATTTAACAACAATTAAAGTGAAAGGCTGCTCACTATAGTTACCAGTTATTGTTGGTTTTAGTTACACTTGGTCCTTTTATTATTTATTCACTGAAACAATAAATTGAACTTTAAACTCATACAAGAATTAGATTTCTTACTCATGCTGTCTGAAAGGGAATAGCGTCCACCACCATTTGAGATTGTTGGGAGGAGGGGGTGGATATTATCATTCAGTGTCTGTAAGGTCATGATTTTTCTGTCCTGTTCTGGAGAAACTCAACATTGAGGATATGTCCCCTAGACTGTGCTGAAGTCTGTTCAGTTGAAAGAGTCAGAAGTGACTAGAGATTTAGGGAGTTGCTTCCTGTATTGACGGCAAGAGGACCTTCTCTCCGCATGAACAAAAGACTGTGGCTGGCTTGAGAAGTGTGTTTTTTATGTCAGTGAAACATGGACAGTTAAAGTGGTTGACATTAGCAAGCTTGAGTGAGCTGAAATGAGAATGGTGAGGTGGATATCTAATGTGACACTGAAAGACAGGAGGCCCTGGTCAGAGCTAAGAGGTTGACTATGTATTGAGAGTACTGTAAAGTATTGGTGAAAATCTGAGAAGAGGCAGGCTGAGATGGTTTGGGTATGTGGACAGAATGGAGGAGACCAATTGGGTCAAGAAGTGCATGAGGCTAAATGTGAAGGGGTGGAGAGCCAGGGGTAGGCCAAGAATAACATTGGAAGAAGTTGTAAGAAATGACATAAAAGTAAGAGATCATGCAGCATAGAGAGCTGCCATCAGGTAATCATGGCTAACCCACACAAGAGTGGACACTGGCTGTAAAACATTGATTATGATAATTTTTTTTTTATGATCACATTATTTTTTAATATGCATCTCTTTAACATATTCCTACTTGAGATTTCATTTTCTTTGCAGACTATGATGGTACATCAAGTGAATCTGTTTCCAGTTCATCCCAGGTAAAATCTCCTGTGCCAACAACTTCTGATGAACAAGGAGTGGCTGGGATTATGCCTGTTATATCAGTTGTGAAGACTGGAAATACTTTTGTGTCTACTGCTATTAACTCGAGTGTGATTGAGAGCCAGGCCAGTTTTCCTGTACCTGGAGTGACACTAAGTGGAACAAACATGCTCCAAGTTGCTATAACAACACCAGTAAGCATTCCACCTGTCACTGGAACCTCACTAACTAAAACAACTACCTCGATGTTGGGAAATACCGATGCATCTTCTGAAGCAATAGGAGGTACTTGTACCCAGTCTCCACTTGAAGCTGTTTCAAGTTCTTCGCAAGCTGCAGAAGCAAAGAAGTCTCAGCCAGCCGTTGTGACACTTGATGAAGATGGAGGCGGAGAAAAAGCAGAAATCAGTAAATCTCGGAGTGAACACCCCCCACCCCCTGGAATGTCTACTCTTCCTAGAGTCCCTCCAACTGTCCCTGTTCCGTCTGTATTCCAAATGTGAGTTTTACATTAATGTTCCAATTTATACCTACCGGTGACTATATTTCCAAATAATTTTTTTCTAAAGAGGAGATAGATTTAAAAAGTATTTGATGTCAGGTAATTTAATTACAGTATTACTAGAGCATAATACAAACTCTTGAAATAAATGTTGAAATTTTCAGCAGATGTGACAATGTTTCTTAATTATGTAGTTGTGGATATCAGAATGTAATATTGAGTTATAATTATAAAGGAAGCTTAATGTATTGAATAGATTTAATAATCCTTTTGATTTGTTTGTAACACAAAATGTTTTCTAAAAACACCTTTACTCCAAATATAATAAATTTTCACACACCATTCACCTTGGTTTAGAAATACTTGTTTCCCATCTTGTCCTAACAAAGAAACATCATTTCCCATTATAATACAACCTCTCCTGTGAAAAGGCAACTGACCCCAAACAAAGTCTTCCATAGGCACTTGAAACTTTTACCCAAACCAAGAAACTTACAACACACCTAGAGCATCCCATTAACCCATGCTGAACATACTCCTCTCTGTTTGGGGACAGTTGTTTTGTTTAGAATCATCCAAATTTAAGGTTGAGCATGAAAACCATAGTTTGAGGCTGATTGTTTTGGATCTTGTGGCACAATAAGTCCTGTCCTGGCAAGGTATTCATCATCATCACCATATTATGGCCATTTTCCATGCTTGCACGGGTTAGCCGTAATTACTTGATGGCAACTTTCCACGCTGCACAGTCTCTCTGTCTCATGAGTTTTCTCACAGTCTCTCCCCTTGTCATTTTTCTGGGATACTCTACTATCATATATTCCAAAAGTAACACCATAAAATTTCTTACATTTGTTGAGTACATGGCCATCTCACAACTAACTACTGTAAATAGTGATTGTTATATAAATATCAGATTATATTTCATGAAGACCTTTAGAACATATAACATAAATGATTGTAAAGAAAGTGGGTCTCATAAGCCTGACAGCCTGTAAGGGGCAGTTCTGATGCAGCACACTACACAAGGAGGCAGCCTGGCCAGCACTGCACTCAACTACCGTCACATCCCCAACTTTAAAATTAGGTAACCATTGACATTTGTGTGAATTTGGATTGTCCTGGGTGTGAGCCAGTGACCCTTAAGTCTGGAGGTGGTCACTGTATTCACTTGACTATTCCATCCTTAAATTCTAAATTCCAAATTCTAAAATAGCTATGCTAGGCCTCACCATTTCCTCTAATATGTCATGAAAGCCACACATCCTCAACATTGCTAAAGCTGCCTCCCAAAAGCTGGGAGTGCTGTACAGATGCCGTAGCTTCACCCCTGAGCAGTTGCTTCAAGTATATAAGTGATTCATTCGTCCTAACTTGGAGTACTGCTCTCATATCTGGGGTGGCTCCTCTTCTGTCCAACTGTTAGATAGAGTGGAATCAAAGGCATTTCTTCTTATTAACTCTCCTCCTTTAGTTGATAATCTTTCTTCTCTTTCTCTTCACCACAATGTTGCTTCACTCTCTCTTTTACAGGTACTTTAACGGGCAATGTTCGGTGGATTTGGTGTCCTGTGTACTGCCGGCAAGGCCGTGGGCTCGTAACACACGTCTTGCCCGCGGTGCCCACCATTTCTCGGTGGATATCGGTCACACTAGAATAACCCGTTATAGTACATCCTTCTTTCCTCACACGGCCAAACTGTGGAATGCGTTGCCTTCTGTGTTTCCGTACTCATACAATCTGTCTCACTTTAAAATGCTGGTTTTCCTGCATCTTTGCAGTGTAGATTAATTTAACCTTTTCCTTTTCTATTTTTAATTTCTTTCTATTATTTTTTTGCCCCACAGGCCCCGTTGTGGGTCGTTGACCTGTGCCCGGGTGGGCTAATCCCCATAAAATAAAAATATATCATAATTCATAATTTGGCATAATTCAGCTATTTTAGGAAATTCCAGACCTCAAATCTTACTTCCACCTTTAACAAATTAGTGTACAGCAAGTAATTTATGAAACAGACTGTGTTGTGCATAGCAGGGGCAGCAACCGTCAGCTAGCATAGGTATTCAGTAGTAAGAAGACATACTGTCCATCTCTGACAGACTTTAATTTTTGTGAGCTTTGGGAGGCTGTGTTTTGTAATGTGCAATGAATGCCCTAGTACTTCTACTGGAGCCCTTTTGAAAATTTTATTGAAATCAATAGGAATACACAAGTTTTTTAATTGTTCATATGTTGAAAGTGCTCAATAGGTTTGAGAGTGGCAGCTCACTACGTACGTTGTGATAATTTAAGGTAAGAACAAGAATCGTTGATAATATGATGAAGAAAAATTATGAATTGTGGGTCACATCCTGGAAGCTTCTCACTTTTTACCTGATTTTCAGTTGAAACCTTTAAGTGCCTCTATTATGGGCTATCTGTTAGGAAAGCATTCTTTTCTAGAATTCCTGGAAATTAGATCCAACTGTTGACTTGGATCAGATTCTCATTTCTCTTGCCCACTACTGCACTATTTCTACAATCAGTGAGACCATATGTCATCATCACCATCATTTTATAGCCATTTTCCATGCTTGTGTGGGCTAGCCATGATTACCTGATAGCATGGTGTCCTGGTTGACATCTGGTAAATTTGAAGCAAATTTAATAGCTAGATGCTTTTCCTATCACCTTATTTTATTTCAGGTCATATCATTGCTTATCATGCTTCTTCCGACTACATTCTGTATATAGATCTCTAGTCAAACCTCGTGATCATTCATCGTCTTCACTCTTTGCACACAGAATATTAAATTTTCTTCCTTCTCATCTCTTATCATCATACAACTACTGTACTATATTTAGATATAGGGCATATACCCACCTCTTCATCACATAGCTAAACAGTTACATCTAACTTATCTGACCTGTAGAGTACCTAACAAACCTTGCTTGAATATATTATAGTTTACTTTGTCAATACATGTAATATATCATATTGCCCTTCAGTAGGCACACTTGTCATGTGTACATTACCTCCCTCAGCCCATCATATTGTTTAAAAAAATATAATGCAGTTTCTTGATTTACCTAATGAATATCATTACAGATTTCAACCAATAGATATTTTCAAGACTCTCATCACGAAGCTTGCACCAGAGGTATTTAAGTGCATGTACAAAGGTTGTATATATGCTGATGACGACCCCGAGTTGTTTGTTCAGCACATCTCACTACATGGTCAGGACTACAGGTGAGTCTTGTATATTTCCTTATTCTTGAAAAAACAAGCAAACAATGATTTATTTTAAGTAATATATCATGTCTGATTATTATCCTGGAGTAATGGGTGTGAGTTGTGCTTGGAGGATCCTCTTCACTTTATCCGCTTGTGTGTGTGTGAGAGAGAGGGGCTACCTGTGATTAGTAAAACTTTAATACAACCTCATCACTTATGTTATGGTATGACTGGTCAATTGTAATATGCTCGTTAAATGTTATTGTTATTAACTAGTAGTTACAGTGACTTTGTTTACATACAGATGTTGTTACTGCTTGGTGCTAATGGCAAGTCCAGGAACATTAGTACAGCATGTTATCACTGAACACAGCCACTGCCAGTTCCAGTGCAAGTACTGCCTTTACCGAGCCTTTACCAAGGTTTACATGGGTGTGCATTTGGTAAGTTTTTTTTTTTTTTTTTCATTTCACATAGTATTAAATACACTTGAATTCTCCATACCTATATAAGGGTACAGTCAACAACAAAAAATTCTGCTCCTTTACAATGTTGTATAATATGACACCAGACCAAGAATTCTGACAAATGTACGGGTTTTATATGGACTGTACAGTGGTCCCTTGGTTAACGAACTCAATTTGTTCCAGAGGGTCGTTCGTTAACCGAAACCATTGTTTCAATGGGATTTTGGGTAATTGGTTCCAGCTCACCGTAAATTACATACAAAGTAAAAAAAAAATGCAGTAAAGTACACTTACTTTGAGGTGTGTATGTAGAAGGCTCCTGGTTGATGATGCTGATGTGAATTTGAAGTGGGGATGGAGGAGAAGGGAGAAGAGAAGGAAGTGGGGGTGGAAGAGAAATCACCCCATGATTGATGCTGTCATTTCACCAATAAAATTTTAGGTTCACTATGTGTAATTCAAGATTATTTTCCTTAAATTAACACTGCACTGCACTATATACTGTCAATATGTTAGGTAAATTTCAGAATGATCAATAATTGTACTGTAAAAACGTAAAAATAGTTTATGTTCAAGAGAGTCACAAGCAAGATGTTACCTCCACTGAACAGAGACAAACTGACGCTTTGGTGGGTGAGTGAAGTGGCTGATGGGCACACCAAAAACTAGTTCCCTGTACTGCAATTATGTTAAATAAGTGTTAAAATGACTAATAATTTTAATATAAAACTTGGAAAAATATTTAATAGCACAACCTTCTTGATATTTACTCAAATGGGAACGAATTTAAGCCCAAGAACCGATTACTGTATTGGCGGACTAATCTACCAGCTGGTGAGCAAGCAAAAACATGTTGACATGTTTTCGTAAGAGTTTTGTTAACCAAATTTTTGTTCGTTAACCGAATTAAATATTTTTATGGAAGGTAATTCGTTAACCGAGGTGTTCGTTAACTGAGGGACCACTGTATTCCTGTTAATTTCTATGTATTAACTATCCTTGATATACAGAATACATCATATTGGTTACACAGTGCATCACACAATCCCTGGGTCCATTTTTTTCCCCCCACTGTAGTGTACATCTTCCCCCCAATTATTTTGTTTGAATCTCACTGTAAACTTCACAGTATTGTTTTGCACTCCGCCAAACTCATTTTGTGTGCTTGCAAACGTTTTTCATGTAAGACCATTTTTAATGGTAATTATTATCAGTATTTCAGCTCATGCCTTTTATCATCATCATCATACTCCTCTCAATAATGGATATATAGGAACATTGTCAAACAACACACTGAGCTAACATAAGTACTATTTCCTCAGAGCACTATTAATATATTTTATAAGTTATTATTTTCAGTGCAAACCCTTCATATAAATCATTATGCCGAATTATTTGTTCATCTTTGACAATAGTGTGTATGTACATATAGCCACACCAGCTTATACAAGTTAAAACACACACACACACACACAATGTTTGCTGTTCAACACCTCAGCGCACATGACCTACGTGACCTCCACTGTAAACATTAATCAGTATGTTCACTGTGTGTTCCTTTTTATTTCTCTAATGAAGGCTTTTGTTAACTCCCCCATGTCATTGATGTCCAATCTATATTTTCAGCCTTCAGGCTGCAGAACTTTTTCAATAAACCGTTAATTTTTATTATTATTGTTACACACACACACACACACACATACATACATACATACATGTGAACACAGCTTCAGGCCAGTCAACTGAGTCATCACCCCTGACAACCACCACACATGCATTTCATTCATGGAGTATTTTGTATCATCCAATAAGACCTACACACAAATGGAAAATTTTGAAATAAAGTTTAGTACCCAAAAATTTTCATTACAGTATTTTTCTTTTGCCTATGATAATTAAATTTCTCTCAACAACACTATGTTACAATAGAAATGATTTAGCAATGAGAGCATAGACACTCACTCCAAAAAGTATCTGTTTGGAGGATCTAATGAATTTCAGAATAAACACCGACTCCTGTTGTCTTGGTAGAGTTGTCAAAGCCCTTCGTCCATTGTGTCATATCGTCTCTCACAAAATTGTAAAGATGCTTTTTGGGGCGAGTGTCCAAGATGACCATAATCTGTTTTTAAATTTTGATATGCTTCATGAAAAGTACTTTAAACTTATTTGTAAATTGAATTTTTTGTACAGTACTGTATACTGTATGTAATGTACATTATGTTATATGTAAGCATTTGATCTCATGGGTTTGGTAGTGTTATGGTGTCTATATGTGTGTTTATTTATTTATTTACTTATTATTTTTTCACATATACAGAAAAACTTCCATCCCTATGAAGAGCCTCGTTACATCAAGGTTGGTACTATTCAGTCTGATCCTCCTCCAAACCCTTCAATTGATCAGTTTGTTCGACCATACAGATGCAACTACCGTAAGTTATATTATTGTTGTGTTTTCTCTTTATTTCTCTTCATTTCTCTCTCCTTTCACTATTTCTCTCCTCTCTCTTTTCTTTCTGTTTCTCTTTTTTTCTATTTCTTTTCCTCTATTTCTCTCTCCCTCTCTTTATTTTTCTCTCTTTTTTTTCCTGTATACAGATATTCCTCTATTTATTAAAATGTCATAAATAGGGTAGACTTTTCCCATTACCATAGAGGGAAAAGTAAGAGATGCATGATAAGCTGTCTCCCCAAGCCATCTCCTACCCTAGTGACAGTAACAGGTAAATCCTATTCAGAAAAATAGAACAATAACTAAGGTAAAAAGATACAAAAATAGACAGATAATTAAGTAGTAAACCAATAATTCAGTTCAAAGAAATAACTCTTGTGTTGGCAGGTTAAGTCGTAGTATTGCCACACAGTCTCTGAAGTGGCTGTGTGCTTCATGTGTGTGTGGGGTATTGTACCGGGTAAATGTGAAAATTTCTTGCTTATATAGAAAACTGGTCCCTAATTTGTCAATTTTGATAATGTGAGATTATGGTTACTGGTAACTTTGTAAATAGAGGAATATCTGTACTCCTTAATAAAGAAATATATATTATATAGTGTACCATATTTATTTTATCTTGGGGAGGAATGTGTTGTACTGGAGAATTTATGGTAGAAAATTTTTCAGCAAATTAGAGAATAAACTAATAAAAATTTGTTGTATTGATAGGGTTCATTGTTAGAGGAAAGATTTCATTAAAATTATTTATAAAGCTTGATATGAAGGAAAGAAAAGTAGGCTTAAATAAGATGCAAGAGGAAAGTGTATTACTGTACGATACAGTACAGCACTTGGTAAACTACAAGATATGATACATACTGTACTTGCACTGTGTTTGAATTGGAGATTGCATGAGTCACTGTATTTAATGGAGAAAATAATGAAGTTGTTTACAGTATAGTTCAATAGTACATTTATTATTATTAATAAAAAAAAATAAAATCTGACCTTCTCGAGTGTAGAACCATATCTTTAATTTTAACTTAAACATATCTGAACACAGAGGAATGCCAGTACCGCACAGTGGATGCTGAGGCCTTTAAGACCCACGTCAACGCACACGGTCCGTTTGTTATCCTCAGCTGCGACTTCTGTCATAAGCATCTACACGTCATTCCTCTGATAGATGTAAGTTATTTATTCAGTTGTCTGACTTGTTTCTCACCAATTATTCGTTGCTACATTTTCTTGTCTCCATTTCCTTATTTTCAAAAATGTTTGCACTTGTTTTAAAACTTGCAACTCTCCAGATAGCAAATTTTCTATCCTACAACTCTCAGGAGTGACCCACATCATGCACCACCCAAAGTGCAATTTCTGTAGATGACTCATTGATCCCATATTGGCCTTATGAGCCACGTAGAATGGCATGATTTAATTTTTAATTTTTATATTTTTATTTATTTCAGCACATGAGGGAGCATCAGATGAACGAGTATCAGTGTCCATACTGTCTTCATGGTGATGCAGAAAAGGAACGTCTCCTTAGCCACCTCTTGAACTGTCACCCAGGTCGTCCAGGTAAAGTGTTACTGCGCAAACAGATCACCTCCAGTGTCAGTGGGGCCGTTGGTGGCACTCAAGACTTTGCCTCACCACCACCAACACTACCACAACCACCACCTGATGCAGCCATCAAAAGGTTGAATTCATATCCAGATAACAGATCAGCTGAAAAGAAGACCGAGGAAAGAATTAGTTCAACTTTACCTGCGACTGGAAAGGAGGGGCCTCAGGTATTATTTTCTCCCTCCATACATGACCATGTTTACTGTTTACAAATTCATTTCTATTTTTTTATATCTGTACTTAATTGCACATCTTTCCATCCAACATCTGTATGGATGGAAATACAGTGAGTTCTGCTATAACGCGTGTTTTGATAACGCGAATTTGCTCTAACGCGATTTATGAATTAGGAACGATATTTGTATAACGCGAACGCTTGTTTGCTATAACGCGATTTTTGCTTACTATTTCTCCAATTTTGTGGTACAGTATTAACTGTGAATATAGTAAAGAAGAATATCAACAAGAAGCGTTCTGGTGATAGAATTCCCGGTGATGATCGTAAAAGAAAGGATATAACACTTGAAGAGAAGCTCGATTTTATCAACCTCAAAATCACCCTTCTCCCCCATCAAGTAAAGTGTTACATTTACTGTATGATTTCATTATTAGATATGAATGTAACATTTATTTAGACTGTGCTATCCTTTGTGTTAGGCTAACTACTAAATTTTTTCGATTTCGAGTAATCTGCACCTAACCCTATCTCCATAAGCCCTGTTATTTCTATTACGCGATTTTCTATAACACGATATTTTACAAGAACACAATTATCGCGTTATAGCAGAACTACCTGTACTTCCATCCCACTCAAGTTTGTTATAAAATTGCACAAAAATGTGTTGTTTAAAGTAATTATATATTTTTTTAATATTTTAATATTCTATTTTTATATGTACCTTCAGACTGCCTGATTAGCTTCTTTTGAAGATGTTTGATGGAGGGTGTGCTTATTTATGCTACGTGAACTTTTAGAAAAATCAAGCTTTTGTGTTGCTGTTTCATGGACAATAGGTGCCTAATTTTGCATGTCCATGCAGAGCATTTATGGTGAGTACCTTTTCTACTTCTTGGTTAGGTCGTGCAATTCTTGAAAAATGGTGTGAACTATGCTTTGGTTTGATTTTTTTTTTTTTTTTACCTCTGTCTTTCTTATTTCCTGATGAGTTTGGGTAACTAACTGGAGGTGCTCAAGGTGTACTTATGCTATAAACTGGATAATAGGCAGGCATAGATTAGGCAGCCCACAGTCCCTTCCTTCTCCCTTGGGGATGCTTCAATAAGCTAGAAATTGAAAGGGGTTGTTGCTGGGTTTGGGGTTTGTAATCAAACATACATTGAAGACAGTGCTCACTGTAGATTCCTAAGGGAGAGAAATATTTACTGCTTCAGGGAATAGACAACATATCTATTTCATACCAGTCAGACATGTCTTTGCTCCAGATCCTGGGTTTTCAACCCTGGGGACTGTGGACTGTTATTGGAATTGCATAGACTAAGCTTAGTTTTAAACTGGGATTTTAGGATCATTCCCATTTATGGTTTGTTAACATGATGGTAGGAACACACTGAGTGAATGAGAAGTGAGAAATTTTTGAAAATTTCTGTAAGTCAGAGGTAGATGGTTGTAGGGAGGCCATGAAGGATATGGAGGATGGAGTGAAGAATCCACTAGAAGTGAGTGGGATAGAGAGATCCAGGATACAGCAATTCAGTTCAGTATATGTGAACAAGGGAGGACATGATAGTTGGTGATTTTTTGGGAAGTACCTATGTCGATGAAACTTGTGCCAGTTGCATTTGTCACCCCTTTGGTACATCACTTGTTTTATATGTACAGTAATGAACTTTCAATTAATTAGAATTTTTTTTACAGACTGCACTAAATATTGAAGGAAGAAGAATGTCTAGAAGTCTGTCACGTGAGCTGGACAGCAAGTTGCAAGATTCTGGGATAAATTTTAATCTTGGTGAGTCTTTATTGTGTATCTTAAGTAACAATCACTGTTAAAGAATATAAACTGCTTGCCACTTAACAATGCACACATGCACCCACAAACCATACCACAGAAAATGGTATGGTATGTGCTGGTGAGCTAATTAACCCAATAACTAAAGCATTTGGGAAATTGAGGGTACCCCATATACAGTGCCACGAAAACATGACATACGAAATTTATTTTTTGTTTTGTTTTTTACATGAAATTGAAGATATAAAACTTGTGATCATCATGGGTGGCAAGTTGTAAGTCTGTGAAGTTAGGCGGATTGTACCTTGCAACTTGTTGTGATGCAAGAAGTGGTTGTGATGATGCAGCTGTTGGTTTTTGTGGTGCAAAGTGGGTGGTAAGTCCTTGTGTAGGTGGTGAGCCAGGCTGTGGTATTGTAGGTGAGGGTGAGAGGCCACTGAGGACAGAAGGAGGGTGATGAGGCATAAATAGTTCCAAATCACTCCTAAGATGATGATAGCAAGTTGATTATTATGAGGCTCCACCAGCCTTGTGTCTCACTCTAGCGTGTCTACCAATTATCAACTTTCCTTTAATAGTATGGCATTTGGAGCTCAGCACTAAATTCAGGGTGCCAAAGGCCAATCATCTTAATTACGATGGAGGTTTTGCTTAAATCATCTGAAGATGATAGTTAAAGGATTAAGCAGTGGCCCAAGCAAATTGACCCATTTTTTAATTTTTGGCAGATTTTTAAAGAGGATGACAAAATTCTCAGCAAAGGAACCTTTATGTAATTATTTGATGCCAAGCATTTCAGCAATGGTCCCGGAAACTGTTAAGCTTTATATTTCCTATCATGGCAAATTTAATTTCTCAGTTTCATGAACACTTACAACCATATACGATATTCTGATTATACATCCTAGTTTATGGTTTAATTTCTTCCCTATTCTAGATGAAGATGGGAGTAGTAACTCTCGAAGCCAGAGCATGGGGGCTGATGACAGTTCTTCCCCTCAGACTGCAGAGAAGACAGACTTAAGTGGTCATGCCCTGTACCGCTGTGGGAATGAAAGTTGTGAGTACTCAAGCATATGTCAAATACAGCTAAGGGAGCACCTTCAGGTATGTGATCTGGCTCAGGATTCCACCATTCTGAAGTGCTATCATTGTGGTAAACAGTGTCGACATTTAAGCACTTTATTTGATCACCTACGTGTTCATGGACCAAAGAGATACTATTGTGGAGTAACAGGATGTGATTATCGAGCAACAATGGTACATTATTTTAAGAACCACATGAAACAAATTCACCGGTGCTCAGGGTTTAAACAGTTGTTAAAGGATCCCAAGAACAGAGATCCAGAAACTCAAGAATATGTGGTGTATCCCAAAGACGCTGTACCCCCTATGAGAGAAGGACACAGGAAAAGAAAAAATGAATATAGCATTGAAGATATTCATCGTATTCCACGTGTACACATTTCCTATCACGACCTGAAGTGTTATCATTGTCAGTTTACAACTAAAGTGAGATTGAATTTAGTGAAGCACATAAAGCTTCATGAGAAACATCCTGATGGTATTCCAGAGAGATTATATATAACTGGTGGTAATTCCACTCCCATTCCAATGAAACAACCAATCAATCCTGTACCATGCCTTGATCGCAAAGAATTGATGTTTGACAAAATGATGAACTTGGCCGGTAGCAGTTTTGAATATAAAAAGAAGAAAGAAGACACAGATTTCCGAGCTAAGAACCCAATACCACATGAGGAATATCTGAAGCTGCCAAAGTTTGTTGCTGAAGAAAGGCTTTACTCTTGTGGCATTGAAGGTTGTAACTATCTGTCCTGTGATGATATGATGTTGAAATACCATATACGCACTCTTCATGCTGACATCGCATCTTTCCCCTGCCCTCACTGCACAGAGCTGTCAATTACTGTGGAGAAAATGAGCTCTCATTTCAAACTTCATGGAGAGAGGCTTTTCAGGTAAAGAATATTATTGATTTTCAGTGCAACACTATACATTGGTTTCAAATATGCTTCTAATTATTAGCCAGATTTCACAGTGAATTACTATTACTTTATTTTACTGAAAGAGTTAACATTACAGGTGTGGCTGGTGCTCCTACATCTCGTGTAGACGGAATGTCGTCGAGAGACACATGAAGGATAAACATCCCACAAAGAAACCGTTTGACTTTGTTATAAGGGAACCTGATGACCCGGATGCACCAAAGAAGATGGAGGAACAGACATCTGAGGTGAGACAACTATATAATATCCTTCTTTTGTTTATTATATACTGTACTGTATTTGTAGTCCAATTGTTTTTGCTTGGATAATGTTTTGGGTTTTAATGTATTAGATACACTGTAGTTCCTGCTCAATGGGAGAGGTTGTAAGTTAAAAGAACAAGCAAATCTGCTGTGGAATGGAAACCATATTGGACAACAGAGAGTTTGTGTTGCTTTTCAAGGAGTTAGAATATATGTACAGGGGGTATATATTTAATGACATATTCCAAGATCTTTGAATGGTTACAGCAAGACTTGTGGATCAGTAGTTCGGTAGAGAGGATGGATCACTGTTTTTGGGAGTACAGTACAATACTGTACTGTTGATGGAACATTAGATTATTTCCAAAACAAAACAACTATGAAAGACTTGAAAAGAGAGGGAAATTTTCCAAGAGAAATTATGAAATTTATGAACCGAGTACAAATGTTTTGAGAATTATTACTTAAACTGTTAACAGAGACATATTTTAGACCTTTTTTGTGGAATGGGAATACCACAGCAGAACACAGCTGTTACTGCAGTCAGAATGAATAAAAGGATCTGGTCACTTAGTATTATAGAAAGAAACTCTTAAAAAATCAGAATAAATTATTGATGTCTATATTCAACTTCATGTTTATGTTTTGATATTTTCTCTTCAGCATGAGTCCGTACCCCCCGTCCCCCCACCAGTTCTGCAAGATCCTCAGTGGCAGTGTGGTCTGTGCAAGTTTAGTTCTGTGACTCAGCAAGAGATGGTTAACCACACCAGCTTAAAGCATGCCATTAAGAGCCAGTTCAAGTGTGGGTACTGTAGTGTCAGATCGTCCGTGCGCACTAGTTTTGATGCTCACTTTGCGGCCAAACATCCATCACAGCCTTTCAGGGTCAGTTTTTTATCTCTTTGGTAATCTATATTAATGTAGTTGACAAGTTGGCTTGTTTTCCTCACCCTTCAGTTTATCTTAATTTTCACTCTGTCCATTTTTCTACTATATTTTCATATGATCTCTACTGAGGCAACTATATTCTTGAAGCATTCTAATGATTTTACAGTTATATTGTCAGTCACAAGAATGATTCAAGTCATCACCAGACAGTAGAACTATTTACAGAATACTGTAAATGGTATTGCCATGGAAGCCACAAATTTTTCTTGTAACTTAACACATTTACTTAGTGAAATTTTTAATCTGCATTTACCTAATAAATTTATAAATATTACAGTTTTACGGTGTTATTAATATTGTTATTATTATGACAGGTACTTTGTATGTACTACCGGTTGGACTCAGAAGACATTGAGCCTTTACATCAAGGAGGCACACAGCACACCCATGAACCTCTGTGGAAGCGTAATGATCCAGAACGTATTCGACATATTCGTGGCATTTTGATTGAGGATGACCCAGAAACTAAAAAGGTACAGTATATTTGTTTTTGTTTTTTAGAAAATTAGCTTTTATGATTTAAAGTAAAAGATTTATATATAACCTGATTAAGTTGATTGGCTTGCTCTCTGTTTTTCATAAGGTAAAGAGGGGCTACTAGTGATACTAACTGGATCATTCACTAAGATCACACTGATGAAGATAACAGCATATCCTGTTCAAGTGTTATTTATCCATTTAATAAAAACAATTAAACTTGTAGATTTAACACTGTACTCAAAGAGCTTCTATTAACATGATTTTTGGCATTTCACATTTAACTTGGATTGTGGTTCAGTTGTTACCCAATGAGTGGAAGGTTTTATAGCAGTTACTACTTTTATTTTTAGTTAGGCATATTCATGAATAAAACAAACATGCCTTCTTCTTCTTCTTTATCATTGAATATTGTGCATTCCAGACTTGGTTAAAGCAGACTGGAATAGGGAAACCAGATAAAGAAGAGTTTGTTTGCCCAAGATGTGGCTCTTTTAAAACTTCCTGTATATCCACCTTCCGTTCCCATCTCTGTAGGGAAGCGGATTACGACAGGTAGAGTTCCTTTATTGTTTATTTATGCTTTTAGTACATCATAGTTTTTCTTAATTTTATATGACTGTACAGTAGTTTCATAGTTGTTTATAGAAATGCCTTTTTGTAAAATTCCATATTTGTGCTTCTTTAGTAAATATAAAACTTGCCGTAATCTAAGTAAAGATGTTGAGAGTGGAGTGTAATGAAAAGCGTTGCTTGTGAACAACATTTTGCAAAATGGAATGGCGACGCTTAATATGATGAATTGGTATTTTGTGAAATATGTCTGAATTTTTGCTGCCCCGTTTGTTGCCTGGGCATATGAAGTTGATTCCTGGGACAGTGTCAATCAAACTGGAAAGTTTTACCCATGTAACAATGTACTGTACCAAATTTATAGGCTAGTCTAGCATTCCAGGGGGGGGGGCCTCCATTTTAGTTATATCTACATGTGTATTTGTAATTTTCTATAAGATGATAATGTAACTCAGATTTGTGTTGGTATTGTTTCAGATATCAGTGTGTGGAGTGTGGAGTGTGTAATGCCCTCCTTCCCAGCTTACAGCGCCATTATACCAAGACACATCATGCCCCATTTACTAATGAGAGCTACCTCAATCTACCTGTTGAAGATGAAAAAGAAGGTTGGGTAAGTTTGTAGAAGAAAGATCAAGTAATTATGTATTAGAATAGTTTTTTTAATTCTTATTTAATTATTTTAAAGTCATGGCTGTTTTATGGTGATAAACATGAAATATTGACAATATGTATCACAGCAGCTTATCACTTCTAAATAATGTCACAGCAGTCTGTGTCAATTTGTCACCTGGCTAAATCTGCACAGGGCACTCACTCTTTCACTCCACTGCATCTGCCCATATTCTTTCTCTCCTCTTTTTTAATACAATACAATATCTAAATTATAATGAATTCATTGACTAGGTAGAGCCATGTTGAAGACATTGTATAGAAAAAACATACAAATAATGATAGTCTTCACAGAGTTCAGTAAGTATTAGTGGAATGTATATGTTTCGCTCAGGCCGGCGAATGTAAATATGAGCTCGTTGTCATTTGATTAATGTGTGTGCATATCAGATATAATGGAAAATGTTAAATGGCAATACAGTACTTCAAGAGAAACTGATTACCAGATACTTTAGCAAAAAGCTCAAATTTTTCTGGTCGCATTTTTAAATTTTTTAAGAGATGGTATTCAGATTATAAGCATAGTCTTGTTTTACAGTCATTTTTCACACTTGCCTACGTCACACCTTTATCCCATGTACCTTTTGCAAATATCAAAATAATTTTTTTTCAAACAAACCCAATTGAGTATGTGTTACAGAATGGCCAACATTCTCACAAACAAGCTGGGGGCTTATGGTGACCTATTGTAAGTTGCTGGTGTGATGAGAATTTGAGTAAAAATTTGACAATCTAGTATAATTCTCATTCAATGTTACTAAGATGGTGTCATTTGTGAATTAGCTGAGTAATACTGATTGAGAATTATAATTGAAACCATCCCAGTGGTATTACTTAAGGTTATCAACTCCTAATTTTGAGAAACAGTTGAGTATTATATTAATGAATTTGGTCTCAACATACTTATTATAACTTCTGTAACTCTTTACTAGGTTGAAAATGTTATCAGCCGCCAACAACAGCTAATCAAGCAGTGGCGAGAGAAGGGTTGCGTAGAGACTGTTTCTGAACCTGCTTCATCTCAGTCTGGAGCATTAACACCTCAACATGCATCTCCTGCCAAAACTGCAGCTGCCACACGTCGCTCTCTGTCAAACCTTGCACCTTCAGGTAAATTTCTTTTTGTGGTTACTAAGCTTCATTTATGAGTAATTCATATATTTTTATATACGGAGGTGATCATAAGTGCATCACTGTTTTGTGTGTTTGTGAACTGTGATGACTGTTAACACTGTTGTTGTTAATGATAAAATTATGAATTTATCATTGGTATGCATGTCATACTCTTGATGAGTGAGAAGAATTAGTTATAAAGTACTTGCCAACAAGAAAATTATTAGCGGGTTCTAGATTTTCTTAAAAACTGGGACCTAGGAGTCAGAAACTGGTTAGGTCGAAATCAAGATCTAATTCTTTTATAATTTCCTTCGTATGATAATTTTTTTTAGATTTTTATAAAGAACAGCTGATCATTTGATCACTTGTATAACTTGCCTCTTTGCTGTAACAACCATGTCAGTGTTTTTCAAAATGAAATAAACTTTCATTTGTCATCTAACCTCACAAAATTTAATTAAGAGAACAAGTTAGCTTCTTGTCTCTGTATTGAAAGACCAGATTTATTTATTTATTTTTATTTTTTATTTTTTAAATATCAGTTAATGACAGATCTTGTGTAATTTCCTTGAAATTTGTTTGAACAAGGTTCCTGGCAGTAACTTCTACAGGTGATACTTCTGGAACCTTTATTTGTCTCAAAGTATTTTTTGAGAATAGTCATGATAATTTCCACCATTTATTTCCCTTTCTCCATTTTTAAGTCATCAGCATTCTCATAACATTTTCTCCCTGTTGTGATTGGTCAATTGGGAGATTTTTAAATCTATGACATTTGGGTTCAAGCATCCACAAAGTGCTGAACCTAAACAAGGCAGACTTGATTCTTCTCCCTTTCCAAAAAATAATTAAGAACCTGACAAAAGAGAGAGACCGTACAGCATGGAGAGCTGTCATCAAGTAGTTGTGGCTAACCCACTTAATTGTGGAAAATGGCAACAAGATGTTGATGAAGATGTGGTGTGAAGGGTTTTGAGACAATATTTTAAAATTTAGCATGTTGCTAGCCCAATTAAATCTGAAGGAGATGCAGTATCTTAAGTGGGTGACATTTATTGAGCCTTATTCACAGCAGAAATTTGCAAAAACTGAACACCAACTACATCATTATACTTAGGTCTCAACAGTTTCTGACTAATGGCCTTAGTTTACAGATTTTTAGATCCCATTAAATATTTTTCCTTAAGCTTCTCAGGCTGTTGATATTGTTAAAATGAATTAATTTATTTGATTTATAATGTACACATCATTTGATTATGTAATTGCTACCACTGATAATGTTCTGATTTGTTATCTGCAATATTAAGTAATGTACTGTAATGTTGTTATGTACTTCCATCAAAGCACAAATAGTCTACAGTATCACTTCTTTGTTTATTGCTTTGTGCATGGAAATTGTGTGTGTTGATGATTGAACTGCTCATTCTAATTTTTTAACAATACATTAAGATCACTTTCAGCAAATTGGAACGTTCCTCTTTAGACACGTCTGAACACAACGAGTAAAAGTATATATTGTAACCATTTAGCTGTCCTCTGCTTGTATCTTTGACACTACTGAGTATTAAAGGAAGGACAGGGGTTCTCTGTCACCCCCCAACTTGGCAATGATGCTTGTCACTCTAGGGTTACATTTTTAAAAGGAAACTAAACTTTTAACATTTTGATGAAATTTTGTTGATTTTATTTCATATATTTGGAAATAGTTTTTATTGACTCCAAATTTTTTTTCTTCTTGTTTCTACAGTTTTTAGTAATGTTAGGAGATTTTATTTCATATTCGCTCTATTTATATTATTAACTTTTATCAAGGCATGAAAGGTTTTGTTTTTATTACTTGTTTCCTTAGACATGAGCCTTACATTGGGAGGCAAGGCACCATGAAGAGGTTTTTAAATAACTTAATTGCTAGGTGGGTCATCTTGGGGCCTGTGTCATCAGGCAGCTGAGTCTTGGGGTTTAGAACCTATGGTAACCCCTGAAATAATGGCTAGGAACTTATTAGAAAATTAACCACACCTATAAACTATAAGTAGAGCTCTAAAAAAAAATTTGAGATACAGGTGTTGCCATTTAAATCAGAAAGATATCATGTTATTACTACATCAGCAGTGTACAGCCTCCCAGTCACTTGTTTGTTCAAAGTGTAAGACCAAACCAACAACCCCTAAACTAGTCCTAGCTATAGTCCCACTGGGTGTGAATATCTGTTGCACATGCACTGGTTCCAGCAGGGATTAGGTAAGTGCTTTTGTCTCAGTCATTGCACTTTTGAAGGTACTGTAGTAAATGTATGATTAAGCCACAAAGTCATCATATTTCTTCAGTGTGAGGTAGTTTTCCGAGGCAGGAATACACCATCTTATATTTTTATGGTGTAAGCGTGTTCGAGTAACTGTGTATAACCAGTTTGTGTGTAGAGGGTTGAGGATCATATAAACCTTCACCATCATCCCAGAGGACAAGTCTTGGCAAGAAGATACCCTAAAAAGTGAGAAGGCTGTTGAGTTCATGCTACTAAACAAATTCTTTTTGCTTCTGCTATGGGCCAGAAAATGATGTCACAAGGGTCACTATTTCAGATCCAGTCACACAACCACCCCTTCACTAATGATTTTAGGGGCACACCCCATTGTTGTTTTCACTCGACCACAATGAGTTGTTCGCTGACATACCCTTGTTATTCCCCCCACTCTTTTTAGGGGTGGGGTTGAAGACTGGAGGGAACTCGCCTGATAATTATTGGGGGATGGAGGGGTAATACCGTACATTCCCCTTACTGCAAGTACAAACAACAGTCCTACTTGTGGCTCAAAACAATAGGTTATATATGTAGCCAGTGCTCAATTCTCTGTTGGCCTAATGACTGTAGAGTGACTCACTGGACAATGAAAGCAGCTTATAACCACTATTGGTATCCTACATCCAACCTTTATGTGGTTATAAATTGATGAGCAAGAGCAGTGTGTTGATGCATCATGTTAGATAAACTACCCAAAGCCTGAACCTCCTCTGTGGAGGAAATAAGCTCATGCTCCCCATGTTCTCTGTGTTCACAATGTGGTTAACTTTTTTACAGTTTGGTGGGAAAGTTATAAATATGACATTCTTCATAAGAGAACTAAACTGGCTTTCTCCACATGCCTTGACTCAGCTCTGGGATCTTATGATTTTCTATATTGGATAATAAACATATCAATGATGAGTCACTGCAGTATGTGTTGAACCTTTTCAACTGGATATAGCTGGAGGGAGATCTTCCAACATGGTGACGGTGACTTCAAGCTGCTGTTCTCTCCTTTGTAAAGTTAGGAAAGGAGTATCTGTATCTTGAAAACTACAAACCAATATCACTGAACTTCATGCCTGGGAAAGTTGATGGGAGAAGATAGTTGATATCTGATTAGTTAAGAATTTAAAACAAGGTGCTTACTCAACCTCCAAACAGCACCTTGTGTGTAGTTCTCCAGTATAGAAAAGTTGTATGACTATACCTGGAGACATTGTATCCTAATAGAGTTCTTTAAACAAGGATTTTCCGTTTTATGGGACCCTTTGTCTCTTTTCCACCTATTTTTTTGAGCTCTGGTTATAACTGAAAGATTGATTAGTCCTTTGATTAGCTCCTAGCCATTATTTAAGGGATTACCGTGGGCTCTAGCCCCATAAACTCAGCTGGCAGAATAAAACAGGATCTTCTGTCCAGCTTCTGTTATAAAATAAGGTTTCAGATTCAGCCAGTCATTTTTAACTGATCAACAGAAGTGTCATTTCATGAGTTTTAAGTTAGGAAACAAGTATGTATCCAGAGAGAGAACATTTTTAATTTTTTATGTATATTTACTCTATTGTTCACCAATTTTTATTGTAAAAGACTTCATAGTGTGGACAGTTTAAGTCAGTCATTTATTTTATACTGTAATTTTGAAACATAAATTATATATATATATATATATATATATATATATATATATATATATATATATATATATATATATATATATATATATATATATATATATATATATATATATATATATATATATATATATATATATATATATATATATATATATATATATATATATATATATATATATATATATATATATATATATATACATATATATATATATATATATATATATATATATATATATATATATATATATATATATATATATATATATATATATATATATATATAATGTACATGGCTGTTGATAACATGAAAGGTGTGTGAATTTATACTGTAGTCCCCTCTTCCCATTTGTTTGAATGTTACTTCTATTCTTAATAATTTCTATGAAAAATAATATATGGAATTATATTTAATGAAGCCCTCCCACTCCTCCCACCTACCCCTGGTGTCCCTCACTCCCAATACACTAGGTGAGGGCTCCCCCCAGCAAGGTGGTGTTGTGCTGCACGACTCGGGCAGTGAGCGGGGTCGATTCGTCTGTGACACATGTGGGTGTGAGTGCCGATCAGCTGCTGGACTCAAGAGCCATACCACTGCTATGCACCAAGCCAGGTCTGCTGATGATGTGATGTGTAGTCTAAAGCACTTAGCGCTAGTGATGCCAATACCAGCATTGATGAAAATTTCCTTGAATCTTTTGCTATAATGCAACAGTCAAAAGTTACCTTTGTAGTGTTATTGTGTAGTACAGTATAAAGTTTAGATAGAAATTAGAAGTGAAATAATACCTTTATCTGTGTCTCGATATAAATAGCTTATTCGTATTATTACTTCAACTTAAAGCCAACAAAAACAGGCCTTCCTGAGACACACAGATACCCATGATAGTTATTTTTTCAGCTGTTAAAGAACTTCAGGCACTCGAAAGTTTTACCAAAGAATATTGCACATATGATAATTTGATTATATCGATGTGTGCATTTGCGATGCTTAACGGTGTTTGAAAGTATCCAGGTTGGTACCTCAACCTTGTGTATTATTGGAATTAGTCCTCAGGCTCATCTTCAACGTTTTATGGTCATTTTTCACACTTGTGTGCGCTAGCCAAGAATTATTAAATCTCTACAAAATGAGTCAGAATTGAAGATGGTAGTGTATTTTCTTCTCTAAATTCTGTTTCCATTTCAATGAAAACTGACCATCTTTTTTAAGGAGATTTGGGATTGGCTCTAGATATTATTAGTTGGACTTAAATGATCAATCCTGTGCAGTAGTTTGGAGTTGCCAGAATATATTTTGTGTTATTTCTAAAATCAAAGGAATAACTACATGTCGTGCTCAATAAAATTGTGCCAAGATTATTAAAGGAGAGTGCACAGATAACAGGGACAGAACTTAATTGCAGAAGACACCAAAACAAAAACAGGCAAATTGCAGTAACCAACTAGAATCACTGCAGCATAGATGCATCACCAGGTTAAGGTGCCACCCAACAAATGTGTGGAAGACAGTGCATACACACATGAAGATTCTTGAGTAAAAGTTAAAAGTTTCTTCAGAATACTATAATAATTTCATATTACTGGAATTCTTCCAAGAAGGTGTTATCCCAGACCTTCCTGGCTAATGTAGTGTCTTCAGCTTATACTACCCATCATTCCTGTCAGGTCTCGTGATAAGACTTTCCATTTCACATGCAAAAATAATCAAATTAGTCCCAGTTCAAAATGAAATTACCTGGCCTACTATAAAATAAAATAAATGAAGCCGATGCAATTTGATCACTCCAATTAGTTTAAAGAATACTCTATCTGGAGGGAATAAAAGTTTCCTCAGCAAACATCTGGCACACAAGCAGAAAAAAAATAGCGGTACAAAATATAGAAAATCAGAGACAGTGACAAAGAACAGACACTTAAAGAAGGTAGCGTGCAGTGTCTGGCTTACAAATTGGCACATGCAATTTACAGTAGAGTTTAAAGAAAGAAGCCATTGAAGTTTGAATTCTTTAAATTCTTATTTATTCACTTAACAAAATACTTTAGATGTTCAAATGGGTTCTAAAAGTAAATTTTTATTAATTTTGAATTGTAATAGTTTTGTAAATTTGACGTTGTACTGTACTGTAATGATTTAGATATTTAAAAAGAATTACACCTCCGAGATAATGGTTCGGATTAATTGGCCTTTGCATACTAAAAGTGTTTGATGATTCACCGTAGGTAATGATGGTTTAGTTACATCTGTATTATTGGGTATCTTTGGCTTCACCTACTTCTCCCTTTCTTTTGTGGGTCCATAAGGTATTTCTTGGATATTGAATGTTTTTTTTTTCTGTTATCTAGTTCATTACTGTTCTCACTGTTTCCATTCTTTTAGACACTTGTTTGTTCCACATGAGTTGCATTGGCTATGTGGATTGCAATGTTTGTTCTATTTTGCTCTTTCAACTGGGAAGTTAAGAATTATTTATTGTGTAAACTGCTTGCCCTTAGATATCCTGCTTTGAATTTCCTTTATTGAAATATTTATATGTACAGTCATATACTGTACACTATAATATGTATTTATAAGCTAATACTTTCCCATTGAAAAAGTCAACAAGTGGAATTCAGTTCTGGAGACATAGCTGACCAGATCAATGAATATGAACTACATCAGTACCTGAGGCACAATTAAAATCACTTTCTTTCGTATCAAATAACAAAGTTCAGTAAAGCCTAATTATCTGAACATATAAACCAGTAAGTGTTAAAGATTTTTTTCATTTAAGTGGGAGTAAGGTGGGTGACATCCTTATTGTGTATTGGGATAAGGGTGTATGTTGTGCTGCCGGGTTTTGTCAGGCCAGTAGAGGCTTTTCACAGATACCAAAAATTATTTTATTTTTAACCGTTAACCAAAAATAAAGACATATTGTCAGTTTGTTACACATTTACCAAAGGAAACAGAGGGTAACAATATTTATGTTTAGAAAATGAAAAAATAATGGTTGTAGGCAATAACATAATAGTTGATCAAATTGCAGCCATGAGGTATTTATTTATTTTAATTATTTATTAATCTTTAATTTCTTATTGGATCACAACATAATATCAACAATGCCATAATTTTCCACTTTTAGTATATATACTGTAAGTGCATAGGCATGATTTTGATATGTGGGGGAGTGGTACAAATTCTAATCAGTCGATCTAAAACGAGTGTACCACAGAACTACTTCAAGTGTACTGTGGTATTAGAATGTTGTTTACAAAACTTCAGATGCTAAAGGAAGATGAAAACCCTCAATATTTTATTATGAATCTCTTTGCCAAAGGCATTTGAATCTGAAATATTTGATAGTCCAACAAATGATAAATTCACTGAATAAGTACATTTCTTTCAGACTAGTATAGGTTTCCCGTTATGTGTAAATATATGAGAACTGCTCTTATATTGTGTGTTGTAATTATCCATATAATTTATCTATCAGAACTACTAAATTACCAAAAAATTATTGTGTGGAGAAATTATTCAAGTATCTAAAAATACAGCTTTATTTTGGGAAACCAATTCCTACTGACATTTCAATTTAATATACTGTATTAGAAAGAACCTATACAGTTTACTTGTTGAAGGAGCCAGAGTAAGAACTGTACATAATATTTCTAGACAAAAATTTCATGGCTGAAACATGAGTGTCCAATACATGAGTCAAACACATACATTACCTTGGGGTGATTTAATGTCTGCCGAGACCTGGTGGTACGTAGACAAGTTTTGGTGCGCAGCTGTAGTCGCTGGAATTATCAGTTACAAGCAACTCGTGCGCCTTGCTAAGAAGTGATTGGCTTGCTGGCTGTGCATTTAAGGCACTGTCTTGATAACCTTCACTGATACCTGAGCTATGTCATCAGGTAGCATGGCCAGCTGATTTTGTAGCTTTTCAAAGTCAAAATCAATATTTTGTACAATAGAAGAACTCTTCTGGCTGAACCTCCTGTCCGTCTCTCCTCTTAATGAATCAAGAACCTCATAGTACTGCTGCCAAACACAGTTTTGTACATCAGTCATTTTGCGATATGACGTGCCCTATGACAATACCGGGGATCAGTGACACCTGAATCATTCATTACTTGAGCAAAGAACTCGTTAAACCTTTCTTCACTTCGAAACCTCTCCATATAGCACTTGCAGACATAGGCTGTTTGAATGGCATCTTCCCTGTAATATGGTAGACAACTGTTCCGCTGCAGAAAACACAAGAAGAGAAGCAAACCAAAGTAGGTCTGAAACAGTGGGTGGACATTTTGTCATCGGTCTATTGAATACCATGTTACATTTGTAAAATTTAGATAATAATGTCTTTATTTTGGAGGCATGGTCACGTTTGTACTGAACCAGTGACAAAATGTCCCAGAACTGTCTGAAACTTCCCCTTCATAGCAAGGTGACCACCTGATTGATTAAAGTACTCATCATGGCTTATCTCTTAAATGGTGGTCATGTTTCTCAGAGAGTTGCATAGTTCTTTAAAATTTCTTCTAGCACACCAGTTCTCACAATGTTGGACATAGTGGTTTGATACTTGGTGCAGCAGTTTCTCTTCTTTTGTTCAGAAATTGTCTTTTAGGGAGTATTTAGATGGCTGCACTAGCTTTCTGGAGAAATTTAGGGCATCATGGATGCATTTACATTCTTTGCTTTGGCCTACAACATTTAAGCAGTGGGCCAGACAATGAACAGCCAGGACAGCAGGAACCTCATTCTGAATTGATTTAACCACTCAGAAGCAGTGTCCTTGGAAGTTTATTGCACCATCCTAACCCTGTTTTTATAACTAATGTCTCTGAAACATTTGGACTATGATGACTCTTGAGGCTCACATAAACAAAGATGGCAGCAATCTTGTGCTTTGTTCTTGAGGTGAGGAATAAGTTTTCTGGTAAACCGTTGATGCTACTGTAGTGCTGTACTGGTTGAAGGTGAAAATTGATGCCTCAGTAGTGTACAGGTGTTCTCCACTCACCACTTGTGAATCTTCATCAGCTCTATTTTTGTTTCTTCTATTTTTTTAATTAATATTTAAAAATTTGTGTGTGTGTGTGTGTGTGTGTGTGGGCGCATACTACATGCATGCATAATGTTCAAACTTCATATTTTTGTTGTGTTTTTGCTGTTCCATTTTAAAAGGTTTACTGTTTGAGTATTTACTTTGTTTGATAGTAATGTACCATTTTAATATATACAAAACATTTAAATAAATTTTTATTTTTAAGTTGTGTTTTTCATCGTCACATTACTGGCGTGTGTCTGTCAAATATAATTCATGTGTTCCAGGATTTTTGAAGGTTAGTTATGAAAGTTGCAGTTCTCTTTAAAAAAAACGTTCTTGTCTTATTTAATCTAATTCTTATTAATGCTTTACTTTCTAGGTTCAAGTGTCATTATTGTCCATTCGCAAGCAACAGCGAAGATGCAGTGAAACAGCACAGTAGTGTCAAGCACCCCAAGTTACAAAATGAAGTATTAGATGTGTCTCAGCGTTGCAAGGTCCAAAAGGCTGATGACACACAGCCCAATAATGCTGCTTTAGAAGAGATTGATGTATGTGAAAATGACAGCCCAGTTTCCCCTTTAAAGGATGAAACTCTGCAAGGAACAAAAATAAAAAGTGAAGTGAAATCAGGCAGTGAGATTGGTGAGGGCATTGTTGAAGGAGCCCTTAGTGTGGAGGAGTCACCTGAAGTGATGAAGGTTTGTCCATACTGTTCATTTACAACAAATTCATCATCAAGACTAAACCAACACAAACGCAATAAGCATGCGAATACTCGCTTATTCATGTGCTCGTACTGTAATGGACGCTTCAACACAAAAATGGATGCTCTTCGCCACCATAAATGGAAGCATCAACAGCTGAAGCCAGACATCACCCACCTGGAGGCAGATGAGGCTCTTCTTAAAGTAGAAGGTGAAATTAATAATAAAGGAAACAGCAATGAAAGCTCTTTACCATTGTTGCCTGTTGGCAGTAGATTACCCAAATTAGCACCAGGCCCAAAACCAATGAGAAACAAGGCAAGAAAATCCTTTACAAAGCCACTTCTCTCTTCAGCATCTAGACAAGTACAAGAGTCTTCAACCAGTGCATTATCAAACATCAATACTTCTTACACTCTCCCAGTTGCTAGTAGTGAGTCTGAGGTTAGCTATAGTTGTTGTCATTGTAATCAACGATCAAATAAAGTAGTTATGGATGAACACATAAAGAAACAACACAGAGATCTTCCATATCAAGTAAGAAAGGAAGAAGGAGATAAGATATTTACTGAAGTGCATATATATAAGTGTGTACATTGTATTGCAGAAAGTATATCACTTGCACAGGCAATGGATCATTGGATTCAGAACCATCCCTTGCTTGATTTTAAATTCAAAATGGTTTTACGACATTCTGGAGAGGTTTCAAATCAGGTAGTGAGTAGTACAACTGCTGATAAAGAACCACTAGAAACACCATCAGAAATGGATACAAGTGGTACATTGACACTAGACACTGATGTCAGTACAACTGATAGTGGAATTAATGCAGCAACATCCTCAGCTATTGCCTCTAGCACTGTCATCACAAGCAGTTCAGAGAACCCTAATAAAAAACCATTGGTTATTTCGAAACGAAGAGGAAGTGGTAAGGATATGAAATCTCCAAATAGGTATAGCATAGACACTGAGGAAGAGGAACAAATAGAGGTCACTGAAGCAGTAGAAGATGAGGGTGAAACTCTTGTCCAGTCAAGTTCTGAAACAGAGTGTGAAGATTTGATTTACAAGTGTGGTCTGTGTAAGAAGAGCAGTGAGAAGCTAGAAGAACTTCAGGCACACATGAGCAAAGTAGGTATATTTTAGATTGTTTACACATGCGTGCTTGCACGTGCACACACACACAATTTAAAAAATTATGTAATACCACATAAATCATAAAACTAAAATCCCACTGGGAAAAGATAAAATACAGAAAAACGAGAACTGTTCATAAGACCTTACCTGAAAACTCAAAACCTGACATTCACCACAGCCTGTCCTTATAAAACCTCGCTCTGTAATTGTTTTTGTCAATGCTGAAGAGGCCCATGGGTTCTGGTCAAAACACACAGTGCTCTCACCTTTTTGGCATTTCATCTTCTCCTACAGTGGGATTTTAGTGACATACAGACAGACAGTACATACTGGTATATAATCTGAGGGGAGGGACTAGTACCCTTACCTTGTTTTATTCATTCGCTAAAGAAAAAAAATTAAAAAGAGCAAATCACAGTGAGATATTTGAATTGTGTGTGGACGTAATCACTGACTGAAATTGATGAGTGAAAGCCTGAATACACATTTATGTGTGTAAGAGAGAGAGCTGTAGTGTGAAGTTGAAGTGAACTAGAAACAAGGCAGTGGAGTTAAATCATGGTGCCTGAAAGAGTAAGAACAATAGGTGGCAGTTCTGTTAGAGTGAAGAAATATGGGTCGTGTAATTGAAATTAAGGAAGTGTAGCACAGAGTATATTGCATGGAAAGCTGTAGTGTTGAGAGGTAGTGAAAGAGATGGGGGATTTAAAAGCTAAAAGTTTATGAAAAGGCAGTGGAGGGGACTGGGATAAATATGGAAATGGAGGTAAACAGTACAGTAGTAATGTGTGCTGAGAGAGGGTTGATAGTGGAAAATATATGGTTCAGAAAGAGAGAAATTCTTAAGCACAGTAATGTGAAGGTGGGATAATGAGGGATGAAGAATTTCCACTTTTTACAGAGCCCCAGGGCTGAGTGGATACAGCGCTCGCCTCCTGTCCAAAGGGTTGCTGGTTCACGCCCGGGGCACCCCCAGTTCACCCAGCTGTGACTAGGTACCTCACTTTGCAGTTGGGGAAGTGAAAACAGTTGAGTGCTGTTCTGGTCACATTGCATCTTTGTGTATTGAAAAGTCTTAGTTTTCATTGTGCTTTATTTGCACTATCCCCAATGGGCTGCCAAGTTTATGGGACCCACTTCAGAGGTCAGTTCTGAAGCCTGCCAAAATCCATTGAAAAGGTATTATAAGTGAAGAGTTAGGTAGGTGTCTGTGGTCTATGATGACAAGTTCAATTTTGTACTGTACTATGCTCAGTTTCTGGCTGCTGTCACAGGATTGGGTTGGGAATGTCCTTGAGGTTAAGAGGAAGATGGAGCTTCTCTGTATCCTTAACATTCACTAGCTTGGCTTTCATTATTAGCATGTTTATGGGACATTGGGCATCATTGCCACCACAAGTAAAGACTTTGTTTTACAGCTACATTAGTTTATAAAATTCATGGGAAGTATGTAACAATGGTACACATACAGGTTGACAAGAAAATCTTATCCAGTATGAATATGTTACTGTGTTACAAATGCAAAAATAACTCCTTATAGCTTGGGGGGGGGGAAATGTTTCATATATGTTCTTGTTTTGTACTAGATGTCCCCAGTTGCATTATAGAACATTATTACGGTATGCAGATAATGGACGTGTCAGCAAGTGGAAATGATGAATTATACCACAGATTAACAAATGGAAATAATTATAACATTTTCTTTGTAGATATTTACTGAGAAATACTGTACCTTATCAAAAGAGATAGGGATGTCCCAGGGATTTTTTTCAGCAGACTTAATTATATAGATGATAATAAAGAGGAAAAAACAAATTGAAGTGGACAGAAATGATGTGCTTGTGTGCCAGAGAGACTATCTGGATGTATTCAGGTAGTGTGGATATGTTGAGAAAGTGGCAGCGTGAAATTGAGTGATTTTTGTGGGAGGACATAAAACCGATGAGAGATTTTGGTTTGTTTGAAAAGTGACAAGTGATCCAATTGGATAATAAGCCATATTTTGGTAGAGGTTTAAACACAGTTGAACATATATCAATTTCAGCAGTAAAAGTGAATGAATAACAACAAATGAAGGTAAAATGTGCAGGTGTTTGCTCTTTGTTCCAGCCAACCTGAGTAGGTTTTAAAAAGCTTTAATTAGGAAAAGAAAAAATTTCTAGTTTACACTTTGCTAACTTGATTTTATCAAAACAGTATATGAGTAATTTATACTCTTTAATCCATCAGATCCATGCCGATCGAGCAGTTAAGGTAAAGAAGATACGCCGTGAAGTTTTTGAACAGCTTTATCGTGCTGAATATGAATGTTGTCATTGTGGCGAACGAGCCCGACATCACCCCATCCAGCGTCATCATAAATCTGCTCATCCCAACTTACCTTTGAAAATTACACGTCTGCCATCAGCACCAAGAGAGAATATATACTTCAGGTCAGTTCAACTCAACTAATTCCTGTTCCTTGGTGTTTCAGATGTTCCAATTCCTGATTGTTTGTTTATGCCAAGTCTTATTTGTCCTAGTACGTAATTCAGATCAGATCCTAATTGTTGCTTTAAGGAGGTTGGCGGGGGCGGATCCAGGGGTTGGGGGTCCGGATCCCCCCCCTTTTCATCAGATAATTCAAATACATTTTCTTCAATGCAATATTGTACAGTATATCTCCAAACTTGCGTTTTTACAGCCTTTTCGCAGCATAAATAACACCTTGATCCATTGGCTCTATGACAGAGGTGGTGTTGGGTGGCAATGCCTGGCACCTGATCCTTCCATCCCTGCTACACAGCATTATCTAAGAGGATGGTAGCCTTCACTTCATCAGATCTTCCACCTGCTTATGCCTGATCTCCACCGCAGCATGTTTGATACACCAGTCTGATGTTATGGCTCCTGTAAACCATACATTCTTGGAGTTATAGTAGTGGATAGGAAGCTTGTGCATAATGTCCTTGATTACACGAGGTCTCTTGCTCTTTCCTACAACCACAGGTTCTTACCAGACACACGCCTTTCACTTCTAGAGGCTTGTGTATTTTCTGGTAAAGTTCTCCAATGGAGTCCAATTTCATCTGTTATTGTACAGTTTGCTTAATTGAAGGTTTTTGGTTTCCATTAAGTCCTTCAACTTTTTCCTAAATGATTCCACAGCATCAATATCAGCGCTGGGCATCTCATATTTTCTTATTCACAATACAGTATTGTGGTGCCTTCGAAATCTAAATAACCAACCAGCACTTGCATGAAAATCCTTTACATTCATATGTTTTCTAACTTTTCAGCAGCTGCCGGGATTTCCACACTTTGGCTGCTATTCCACTTGCACCATTTATACACTGCTTCTTCCAAGTCCTCATTCTCATAATGCCAGATGTTTCCTGGTCCACATTAAATTTCGAGGCATATTTGTTCAGGTTATCTTTCGATTTTTGTATATCTGACACTGACTGCTTTGAAATTCCATATTCAGTTCATTTTTGAGGGAGCAGCACCTTTTTCTAGCTTTTCAATCACCAACTTTTCGTTCACTGTTAAGGTTTCAGGCTTAACTTTCTCACCACCCTTATGGATGCCAAACACTTTATTAGGGGTCATTGTTATTGTCTAATTTTTCAATAATAATGTAAAAATATGTATGCTATGTCAGCCTACAACATAATCACATTACTGGCAGTGTCAAATAAGTTTCAAAATAAAGTTCAGCACATCTATATGGCAATAAAACACAATCGATGGAGTGAGAAAGCACAAGTGATGTTATCAGGTGCGACGCTAATTTATGACTGATCACGTGATGCGTGATATATATATATATATATATATATATATATATATATATATATATATATATATATATATATATATATATATATATATATATATATATATATATATATATATATATATATATATGTATATATATATATATATATATATATATATATATATATATATATATATATATGTATGTATATATATATATATATATATATATATATATATATATATATATATATATATATATATATATATATATATATATATATATATATATATATATATATATATATATATATATATATATATATATATATATATATATATATATATATATATATATATATATATATATATATATATATATATATATATATATATATTCTGCATGGTGTTTGATTTTGAAAAACAGATTATTTTCAGGTTGACCCAAATAAAAGTTTGCCAGTATAATTCCTCTCTACATTCCCGTTTGTGTCCTCTTGCCTCTCTATTCCACTATATCTAAATGCAGCGTACGTGTGTCTTACATTCTTTCCTAATCTGGATATTTATAAGTAGAATGTTATTTTCAACAGGTGTGATGTCTGTGGGCATGTGGTAAAGAACTTACAGTCGATTCGTCAGCATATTCGCCGCCACCATCCTGAGGCAGATGAGTTTACATTCTCCAAATTGACTTTGGGATCTCCAATGCGGCCTCCAATGAAGCATCCTTTTAAGTGCAATTACTGTGGTGATGTTGGTGAAACAGTTCAGGAAATGCAAACACACCATGCCTTTTTGCACTCACATCTGGAGTGTAGTATCACAAACTTAATGGATGAAGCTTTATCATCTGTGCACAGTCCATCCACCAGTCATAGTTCTGGGGAACCAAAACCTCCAGTATTTGCACCAATGCCTGCAGTGTGCAAAAGTAGCCCTGCTCAGAGTGGAGAGTTAAGTAACCCCCAAATTCCTACAGCTGCACCCATTGTGCCAATGCCTAAACATAAGAATACAGCTAGAAAATCCATTCCAACACTTGTAAAGCATGCAGTAGCCAAGATGTCCACTTCCAAGCTACAGCGAAGTGTAGTAACAAATATTAGTGGTGGTGGTGATGATAATAATGATGATAATGATAGTGATGATAATGAGCCTTTCAGTTCTTATTGTGTACCACAACCTCCTCTTGAATTAGAAAATATTTATGCCTTTGTGAACCTTGGTGCAGGAGTTCCTATGAGGCTTACAGTGCAGCAGCTACGGCGACTAATTAAACTATCACCTCAAGTTACAGTCACCAACATTAAAAGTGTAATGAAGATTACGTGAAGCATAAATTTGTTATGTCTTTTTAAACAGACTAGAAACATTGTTGAAAACTATAGGTAGCCCTTCAGTGTGTATAGAAACAGATGCCATTCATAAAGTGGTACAGTAAAAAGTATTTTCATCAAGTGATCCCATGAGCTCTGGAATGTTAGTCTTTGAAATAATAAATTCCAAAGAATTATGATACTGTTTGCACATGCTCTCAGAAGTATAATGTGCATGGTGAAAATTGAACAAACTTACCTGAAACAATATCATTTTAAGATCAATTTATGGTGCTGAAGTTATGAGCCTAGGATAATCTGTATTGTTTTTGTATTATACATTCTTTTAAAATCTCATGCATAACAAAGAGTACATGCCAAATCACTTTCATATATGAAGTAATTTATCAGTGTTTGCTTTTTGTTGGTAATATGTTTAAACGGTATCTTGACATGGAAAAGTGGATTGTTTTTAAATTGCTTAAATTAAGCATAAATTAAATTAAGGAAATGTGTCTTCCTATAACAAAAAAAAATTCACCCATAGCATAAGTTATGTTTCTGTGATAATCTTCTTTATGTTTTTTAAGTCTCAAGATTTTGTTTAGTGTTTCTATGAATCATATGTTATGTATACACTGGGGAAATAAGTTATAAGACTGACCACAGTGAGGATTTGGTCCTCTGTTTATTGTTTCAGTAAATGTGGAGGAATATTTTCTCAATTATATTGACTGTATTACTTACTGGAAATACTCACATATTCACATGAATTAATTATTGTTGTGGAATTTGTGGTGTCTTCGGTTTTAACTGATGATGTGTAACACAGTCAGTAGTGGCTATTGCTCAAGGCCAATGTACTTTTTTGCTAGCTCTGGTGTGGGAGCACAGCTCAAAATAATTTAATGATAAAGGCCATGAAAATGTAAACAAAGCTGAGCATGACACAAATTTTGTGCGAATGTACATGATTGTATTACTGAATTATAGTTATTCCCTTCATTTTTGAAATAAAATGTTTTCCTTGTTATTTATTCATTCCTTGTATGAATACGATTAAAAAGTTGGTACAAACATTAGGAAGATATGATTTGAACAGTTCCTAGTTGGATTTGGTCTGCTACATTTTTTTATAGTGAATAGTTGGAGACAACATAGTGTTAAGTTTCAACCTGTGCACTTCCACAATATTGATGGTTCTTTGACAGTACTGAACACAATTTTGTAACAGTTCTTTTTAGTCATATACAATAATTAGATACCTCATTCCAATGTAATACAAACTTAAAATATATGATCTTGTTTAAAATATACTGTAAATATTAAGTATGCTGCATCATAATATTTATTTTAAGGTACTGTAATTTTTAAAAATTTAAGAGGAGTGGTTAAGATTAAAAGTTGTCACGAGTTGAATGCTCTGAATGGTGCCCATTAGTGTTGAGGCCAAGATTTGGACCAGCTTAGTAAAGCAGTTAGCTTTAGGATGATGATGGCATTATATAAGAAAACCTTTGTTAGATATTATTTGTTTGTGATTGAATGCTTTTGTAGTTGGCAACATACACAAAATTGTAACATTTCTTAAGTACTGTACTACTTGGATATGCTCTATTTCCTTACACGAAATCATTCCTCTTTGTACCTTTACTCACATTCATGACACGAGGATAGCATCATTTGTATGTTCCATATCATAAGGTCAGTAATTTGATTTTTCTGTACATAAAATAAAATCATATTTTAGTTGATCTTCTCATCAAGTTTGTTTACTAATATCCTTGGGAAAAAAAATATATATATATATATATATATTCTATATTATATTATATTATATATATATATATTCTATATTATATATATATATATATATATATATATATATATATATATATATATATATATATATATATATATATATATATATATATATATATATATTTACTTATTTATATTTTTATTTATTTATTTATTTATATATATATATATGTAGATCGACAATCGAAAAGTGGATAAGATAAATCTTGATAAAATCACACAGGAAAAGGGGAAACAATGGAGCACCTTAGCTTTTGTCTTTAAAGACATTTTCAAAGGCAACTCTACATACACCCATCTAACACCACACACCTGCTCTTAGGGCTACCTTTCAAGAGCAGTGGTGCCCCCAGGGGCGGCGGCTGTTCCAGGGGTTCTCTCGGGTCGCTGCACTCTCAGGGGCGGCAGCGCTCCCAGGGGCCCTGCTAAGGGCGGCGGTGCCCCCAGGGACCCTCCCATGTGCGCAGGCCCCCCTTTAGGATCTCACAGGAGCAATGGTCCTCCCAAGGGTGGCAGCAGTGACCCCTGGGGCCCTCCAAGGGTCAGTGGCACTCCCAAGGGCCTTTCCAACGACTGGCATTCCCAAGTCCCTTCCCAGTGGCAGTGGCGCCCCAGGGGTCCTCCCAAGGTCGATGATACACAAAGGGGCACTCCAGGAGGCAGCAGTGCCCCCAGAGTTCTAAATAGTGTAAAGAGAACTGCCCAAAAGGGACTTCCAAGGGGCGGCAGTGACCCCAGGAGCCCTCCTTAGGGGCGTCAGGGCTCTCATTCGGGGTGGCAGCGCACCCGGGGGTCCTCCAAGGAGAGGTGGTGTCCCTAAGGGTCCTCTCGGCGGGGCAACAGCGCCTTCAAAGACCCTCACAGGTCAGTGGCGACCCCAGAGGCCCTGTCTGGGACGGCGGTGCCCCCAAGAGCTCTTCCAGGGTCGGGGGCGCCACCAAAGGACCCTTCCAGATCGATGGCGCCCCCTGTAGCCCTCCCAGGGACCCTCCCAAAGGTGGTGGAGCCCCTAGAGGCATTGCCAGGAGTTGTAACACCCCTAGGGCCTGTGGTGCCCCAAGAGCCCTCCCAGGAACAGCAGGGCGCTCCCAATGGGTAGCGGCATTCCCAGGTCCCTCCCAAAGAGGGTGGAGGCCCCAGGGACCCCTGCAAGGTGCTGTGGTAACCACAGGGGCTATGGCACCCCAGGGCCTTCTCAGGGATGGCGCCGCCCACCGGAGCCCTCTCAGGGTTAGCGGTGCTCCCAGGGGCCCTCCCAAGGGGGCGGCGACCCCAGGGGACCTACTAGAAGCGTCTCTTCGCAGGATCCCTACAGCTTGCTTGGTCGTGGTGTCGTACATATTGCATACATCCAACAATCCCTTACTTAACTATAATTGGT